ACCAAAAACTCTGCTATCGCAGAAACTAAAACAACTGCCACCAGTTCATTAGTCACTAGTCATTCGTGAATTCGTGACTAATAAAATCTGTTATTTGAATTATTTAATTCCAACATGAAAATGTCTGGAAAACGAAGATTTGTTTGATTCGGGGACACAAAAAGTTAACTTCTTGTAGCAGCTAGTGAATGTCCAAAACAAACAAAACTTACATTGACATCTAACACTAATACAATAAAAAAAAACCCCACAATGAATTCTGAGATCAATAAAACCGTTGATGAAATTAATACAAATAATGAAATAATTGATTAAATGTGAAAACTAAGCTTGAGATATTCTAGATCACCCAATTACCGTAATGTCATCCAAGTTGGTGGAACTTTAGGTTTTTTGAGAGCAATAAAAATAACATTCAAAATCGATTTGATTTACTTTTACTATAATTTTTATGACTATAAAATACATTTATATATTGTTTGATGAATATTATAAAATACTGAACAAAAAAAAAAACAATAAGTGGAACATAATAACTGTCATCAAATTTTAATATATTAAAATTTTTTTATTTTCCTGATTTCTATTGTATAAATTTATTTAAAAATTGGTTAAAAAATTACATGTTTCGAGAAAATTGAAAATGAAACATTTTTCGTTGAATTTTCCTGTAAAAATGGTATTGTTGAATAAAAATTTGGTTTAGTCACCATTAATTCAGTTTTCTGAACTTAAAAGTTTTTTAAGGTCGACTATGAATAACAACCAATTTTTTATATATGCAATCAAATTTTTATGTTCTGTGTACCTAAAATAAATCTAAAAATAGTATTGAATTTGGTTTTTAAACGAGTTGTGTCTGCTGAATTTAGTTAACTATGAAAGTATATAAATACCACACAAGAAAATAAGTTTACTCTGATGTCAGTTAATTCATTATTTACGAGCAACGTAAATGATTTCTGTTTAATTAAATTATCATACATTTTTCTCTTCTCTCGACCAAAAGAACATTACAGCTCACAATTCTACTTAAGTCCTCGAGAACTCAACAACCCTAGTACCTAGCTGTTGAAAACGTATTTTAGTTCAAGTATTAAATGGATACTTCAGCTATCTTAGGTTTTAAGGCTATCCGAGCATATTTTATTATCTACTTTGAGGAGGTAAATAATGTTCTCCACTAAAAATATAGCAACACTCTCGTTTATCAAGAAATATTAATTATAACAATTAGCTGTTAATTATTAATAATTGTTTTTAAAATATACAAGATTATTTTGAACGTTCATAGGCGCAATTTCAATTTTTAACTTGGGGGGGGGGGGCTGGAAATTTTTTTAAAATATATATATATATAAGTAAATATATTTTTGTATTTCAAAATTGTATGCATAACCTAATTTTTTTTTGGGGGGGGGGGTAGCCCACCCTAGCCCCCTCGTATTTGCGCCTTTGTGAACGTTATAAGACTTTTACAACGAATTGAATTGAGGTCTTATAAATATTGCATTTCAAATTCTTGAATAGTTTTTTATTTTTCCTTATCCAAAACAGTTGGTATAACAGAGCCGTGTGATTTTTTCAGTATATCCGTTTCTAAGTAGTTTGAAAGGTTTGGGTCATAGTTCAACAAGACACGTGGGCCCATTAATAGTAGTTTAAACGTAACACGTGTACAACATGAAGACAACTGTGTATAGACTTGATACTATAATGACATATTCTCATTGATTGTATTAATTTAAATTGTTATGAATAAAAATAAAAATTCCAATTGATAAGTCAAGAGTTATTTGATTTTTTAGGTAGAATAGACTGGAAACAAAATAAAATCAAGGGCTGTACGGTAAAAATAATAATAATTGATGCTTAAAAAAGAGTGTGTCATCTTCGAAAAGTGTACCGTAAAATAATGCCAACAATTGACTATTGAGAGCTGCTGACAACAGAGGAATGCTCAAATCGTCAATAATCCATAATTAGGGAGGTTCTCTAATTATGTTTCTTCGAAAAGTCTAGTTGATTTTTTACATTGACTTGCATAAGCACTTTCATTCAAGAAAACAATTCGAGTCCTTGTTATAGAAAATATTCTCGAGTATAGATTAGGTTTAAACAAAATTAACGAATCACTATTATTATTTTCAAACAAATATTTAAATAGACATTTTAGAAAGAGAGATTTTAAACATACATAAAGACCACACTAAGACATAGCAACAAAATTTAACGGATAAACTTCGTACATATGTATTTATTAAGAATTTTTAATTTCCTAAAGATGTCGAGAAAGGAAATAGGTGTTTTTTTTTTGTTTGTTTAATATTACAAGAGAAAAATAGAGAATAGCGTTGAACTAGTAAGAAAATTGTTGATTTACTCAAAAATAAAATGTATTGTTTTGCTTGTAAGCTAACGTTTATGGGTGTATTATGCACTTATGGATTTAATAACTGGATTCATTTGCGTGGTATGTTAAAACATCCAAAAGACCATCTAACCATTGGTTAGCAATTCATGCTTGACTAGAAACAGAAAAAAAATCGTATACATTAAATAATAAATATTGATAAAGAGTCAGAAATTAAGCTATTCGTTGGAAAATTATTATCATAGCTTTAGTGACCTTATATTGTTCTTAAAATAATACACCACATTCAAAAGTCAAAGTCAAAGTCACTCACATAGAAAGGCAGGGTTGGACAACTTCTCCCCTGGCTTCTCTGCAAGTTCAAAAAAATTATGTCCGATTTTCAAAATTTTTCAAAATCATAGCCTAAATTTTCACCTGCTAGCGCCCTTGGCAATAGCTTTGCAATGCGAAATGTCGTTGACCCATCAGAGACGATACGGCTATCAGGAGTAATAATAATTTTTTCTTATAATAACGTTTCACTGCCAGATACTCGACGTGCCAGACGCGTCACATTGTCGTCACAAAGGCGTGAGAGGACTTAGAGAGGATAGCTTTGTAAATTGTAAGTAGGTGAAAAAATGCTGACCTTGGCCCAAGTTCAAAATAAAAATATATTGGCAAACGAAACAATTACAGATGTTTAAAACGCTATGATATGTATTTTTAATGAGTTAAATATAACAAAAAAGCAAAAGCGATGCGGCGTTTGAACGTAAGTATATACAGGGCGGTACAGTGACAATATTATCTCTATGAACTTATTAATATAAACTTTATCTTCAAAAACTATTGAACAACCAATCGTTGACGGCCGACATGATAATATATATGTGAATATTTCTACCCAAAAAATGCTAATTAACTTATAGAGCTTGTTTTTTCTACTAATATTATAATTATTTAATGCTCTTGTTGCTTAGCTCGTACTCGAAGCAAGAATAAGATAGACTTGCTAGAAAAAGGTATTACACGCAGGAAAATATATTAAGTATGTATAAAAATTGCTGTTGTTTCAAGTTTATTCATTTTTTTTTAAATTTCATCCCACGTTGGCGATTGGGAATCATTCTTTTTTTCCACTACATTGTCTAGTTTTGTAACAACGTAAAACTCTTCCAAGTCAACGAAACAATCAAAATATTCACAACGATTGCCTTTGAATTTAACCTTCGCGCCGACAACCGTATTTAACATATCATCTAAATACACTGAAATCATTAACATACTGGTGGACGTTTATATAAATTATTATTATTATGTTAATGCGACTACAAACATTGATAAGGGATACCGTTGTCAACAATGTCAATATCCATGGCCTATTGTACAATGTACATACATACAGGCCTGCATACATATACTGTACTAAAACGATAAAATATAATTATAAGTTATTTCTAACTATCTATGTATTTGTAGTCTATACCAATCAGATACTATAGACGCTTTAGTTGTATATTCAATAAGTCCGCATCTTGGTTGTTGTCGAGACCTATAAATGTCAAGTTTGAAGTTGTCTGACAGCAACTTAAGTCAATGGTAAAACGGTTGCTTGTATTCCCAAGGGGCCGTGCAATATTTCTAGAAAAACGCCTCCTGCGTTTGTATAATGTGTTGAGTTCATAAATCACGTCTAAATCAAAAGGAAATTATTTTGGAACTTGTGTTGAATTGACGAAAATAAAATAATGTGTGTTGTTATGCACAGTTGTATCGATACGAAAAACATTTTATTAGGTCTATCAGGATAGACCTATCTATTTTTTGCAAAATCTAAATTTAAAACTTAAACTGTAATGTGCAATTATTAGTGTAGTAATTAGAACTCTTTTTTTGATAGTTAATTTATTTTTCGTCCTATCACAGCATCTTTGTCAGCGGTTTAACTTTTTTTTTTTGTCATCGCAAAATCTTATAGCAAGTCCGTGGTTGTCTTGAAGCAAAAACTCATATTATGAAATCGAATGTTAAATATAAGTATTATCGTCGAAAAAAAAAATAAAAGTATGATAATATGAAAATTGACGTTGTTTCCAAAATCTTGTCATCTTTTTTTTTTTGCAATGGGCATTTTTGCTCTATAATAATCACGGAGCGAGTTAAACGCATTCTGTTGAAAAATCGACTGTACGACGTCCTGTTGACTTATATTGTTAATATAGTTGTGTGTTCGATTATTATTCTTGGACTTCTTTGGAGTCTAGTGTAGCGTGGGGCGTTGGGCGAGGGCACCGTCTCGTACCGTGTCCTCGTTAGCATCGCACTCGGAGTTTATGAATCACCCTGTATAGTCAATGTGAATGTCTTGAGTTAATTGACCTTAACGCGCGGTAGCGACGCGCGGGGAAAGCTGCGGAGAACGCGCAGAATCGCAGACGGCGCGGCATCAGCTGATCGCCGCAAGTAGAAAAAAAGTAAATAACAATAATAATATATATATATATATATATATAATAATATGATACAAGTAAAATCTGCCAGAATTCGCGCACCGCCGCGAGCGTCGCGCACACGCCGAATGCCACCGCCGCCGTGCGGGACGGCGGTGGCCACGCGCGAGTTCAGACCGTCCGACCGCGCGCCGTCCCGTCGGTCACAGTCTCGCGTCGGATCGCGCCAAATCACCATCGCCTCGGCCGCGTCCACCCCACCGTTAGACGGCAACCGTCGGCCGTCACACGTTATCACGGTGTTGTTATAATAACTTTAAAAAAAGTGATCGTTTATTTTGAATATAAAATCGCCTACATTATAAATAACAAGTAGGTACGGTATTGTAGTATTAATTATTATAATATTTTCGCCAATCGTTTTGTAACAAAAAAAAAAAATAGAACGCACGTTGTAATTATGGTCGACGACGGTGGCAACGAGTACTGGGTGTTCGGGTACGGGTCGTTGTGCTGGAATCCGGGATTCGAGTACAAAGACTCCATGGTCGGCTACGTGCAGGGATTTTCGAGGAAATTCTGGCAGGGCAACATCGCTCACAGAGGGACCAAAAACAAGGTAAACGCTTTACCTTTTTTTTTTTTGTTAAAACCACCCGAAACTCAAATGGCACGTGCGGCTGACGCAATAAGCCCGCATTTTGGTTACCCCTGCGACCACGGCTCTGGTTGTTGCCGGGGGCGACGCTACCGCGTTTTACTTGTGTGACTTATACTTCAATATTATACAGCTATATCTATCCATGTGTGTACTTTTTTTGTCAATCGGTATTGTAGTTCAGTGCAGAGTTGTACTACCTAGGCTCTATATTATATTTTATACATTTATCAATTATTGTTTCATCATGCTCAAAGAATCGCCAATATCATGTTCGATACTGATAAGGGACAGGCCAGGTAACTTGTGCTGGGATAGAGTTGTGCTTGTTGAATAATTTTTGTAGATTTTAGTTTGGAAAATGTACACTCAACAACAGCTACAGTGTAGTGAGCATTATTCTGATAGCTACCCCTGTCTTGGGAAATGAACTAGACATATTATTCAAACATGCTAATGCCTGCAGATGTTGTTGTCATAATTTTGAAAAATTTGCAGTTCCACGAATATAAATCTGCTCCTAGAATCACCTTCACTTAATATTATTTGCAAATCAAGACAACAATTTTTAACTATAATCATCATCATCCTATGATATTTTAGTGTTTTAGCATCTATTCGCGGGTCTTGGCTAGCTTTTGCGATTCTCTTATATAAAACACATACATAGTTGTTATGGTAAAAATACTAAAATGTAAATACAATTAATTTTAATGTTATAATGACAAGTGTTTTTAATTTCGTAAGAAAAAACTATATTTTAGACGGTCGCATTATGAATAGCAATTATTCGAATATGAGGAAAACTTAAAAAGACATTTTATGTTTTTTTTTGCGGTTAAACGGCCTGCAAGGGGCCCGGTACGGGTGCACCGCTCTCCCCTTCTTGGAGCAGGCACTGTTGCGGTTGTGATTGTCTTAATCTTAAAAGCTGCAAAAACGTTTGTTCGCTTGACATTTTAAAACAATATAAAATACGTTCATTACCTTTTCGTTTTTATCTATTATATACCTCTTCGAAAGACAAACGCTACAACACCTACTGCTGTGACCATCAACCTAGATTTCATTAAAAAAAAAAAATTACCTCGTATGCTCCTAGCTACGCAGCCAGGAGTGACGCGTTTTAGTTTTTTGCGCACTACCTTTCTTATATGGGATAGAGAGTATAATACTTAGTCTGCTGCTAAATAATAATTATCGTTACTGCGGCCGTTTTCAACGGAGATGTAATTTCTGTTTATGCCAGACAGACGGTCAATTATTATTCGTACCGATTCAATGGTTCTCAGACACGGTCACGTTTCAACGGATGAATATACTGTAAAACGTTGTGAAGCAATTTTTTTTTTTGCCATTTACCACGATCCGTGTTAACGATACGTCCGCATTTTTTTATAACAGGTTTTCGTCTATCAATGCATATGTATGTATAATATGTAATCTTTTATTAACCTGCGAATTCGGCCTGAGTAGAATATTGAGAATTCCGCCGCACTGCGAAACACCAATTCGCTGTCCCCCCCCTTGTACATACTTGTCAATTTACAGCGGAGCAGGAGGAGGGGGGAAAGAGAAGAATGGATTTAAAAATCAAACATGTGGTACTCAAAAAAAATGTACACGTACATAATATATTATATTTCTTTAGATTTGTATTGGACAAAATTCTCGTTTTAGCTCTTTTAATATAATAAAAAATCGTTCATTCACGTCGAATAACAATATAAAAAAAAATACCGTCTCATTTACATAAACAACGAGACTGGATGACACATCTGTTGTTCAAGCCGAAAATTGTTGTGAAATATTTTATTAAATTATTGGGTACGGCGGTGAACGTTGAATAGTATAATATTGTTTTTGTGTACTTTGCTGTAAACCGTTCAACCGATATTAAATGTCTTATCGTTACACCTCCGGTGGTTTTACCATAGGCACTATAATAATATGACAATTTTATGTATTAATGTATATTTAATGCCTTTCACTCGGGTTTACAGGGTTACATAGCGAGTACGACGATATGTTGTTTTTTTTTTTTAAGTAGGTCGCCCCAAAGAAAATTATTATATTCCTTATCACCCCGCTTTTTTTTTTTAACCCCTTACTCGACTCGGTTGCCGGCAAAGTCCACTATCTTTTGTTTTCTGTTTCTTCTGCCAATTTCCGAAGGGCTAGAAAAAGCCTTGAAAGTCGTACAGGAAGCAAAAAAAAATATGGATAGTGTTTGAATAATAATAATAATTTTATCGTCGCTTATCCGACGACCTCACACACGTCGCGCCATGTGCGACGCTTCTATCTGCTAGTGTATACAATAATTATTAATATTATTATTATTGCTGTTGTTATTATTACTAAAAATATAATTATCGTTGTTTGTCTCAATGCAAACGATATGGTATTTAGCGCGTGCGTTATTTTTACAGAAGTTAAACCACAGTTGAGCGACCTTCGGATGTTTCGTAGAAACAGAAAATTATAAATTTTTTTTAAATTCTTCCACGTTAAAACCAATCGAATTTCAATACAATATTATCGAATCTATTTCTAAACCGTAGCGCTTAGGTCAGTTACCCGAAATAAGGCGGCGGGTTTTATTATTATAATTTAAAAGCATCGAAAGTTCAATGTTATTTTATGTACATATATAACGAGTATATTTGACCGAATCGTCTTGTCTTGTTCAAACCGTGTAATATTATAGGTACTAGCTTGTATGCGACAGTGAAGTAAACAGAAGGGACTAAAACCAGTATGACCACACAATAGAAAAAATAGTCTTCATCGTTGAGCGGTTGGTACTCAATACGGTAAATAGGTTTTTACCCCTCATCGTAAAATATATTTTTTTTTTTTTCAAGACATTGTTATCATTAATATCTTATCACCACTAACGGTATTTTTAAATATATTTGTTTCGATTGTTGTAAATTGTTGATTTTTCAGTTCAATTTTTTTAATATCCCCGCCAATTCCTAATGGCGTATGTACAATAGTGATTTTTCCAGAGTTTGAGTATTTTTTTTGTTGCCAGTAAAGTTTTGATAAGAATTGTTTATTCAGACTCAATATAATATGGCTGCATCATAGGGCAGGACAAGACGTCTTAGATCTAAGATGCGTTTGGTGGTCCAAAAAGCTTACGGTTCAAAATCTACATACTATCTGAACATTAACGATGATAACAAACGTTTGTCCTCGAACTCAAAAGTTTAAATCCACGTACGTTTCAGTTTAAACAATTCATTTTAACACATTTGCCTATTATTTGGTAAAAACAACTTGATTTCATTTTTTTTTTTGTACGAACTTGCGAACAGAGCTACACCGGGTTATCGGTAAATGGTAATAATCGTACGTGCGATTATTCTGCATTTGCTAATTATTTATACAACGGTATTAAGCGCTCAGACTGTCTTTTTTAAATCAATTATTGAGAATTTACTAATTACGCAGTGCAAATTATTATCGGAATCGCCACCGTATCGCATTTTATCTTCAATAATAAATATATATAATGTAGGTACGGTGAATTATTGTGATTGTCAAAGGTCACGTGGGTTCATGAGCAATAATAATTAAAAAAAAAAAGCAATACTCGGTTTAATTAGTTTTGTAAGGTGATCCGTTGTAGATTTAGTTCTATAATAGAATAAAATGTCTATATAAATGGTAGACGGATATGGCTAAATAGAATCATATTTTTTAGTACTCGTTTTTTTTAAAAATGCTATCAGGAAATTGAACGTTTCTGGTACCTAAATACCTGTTCTTATAATATTGTTTTTGTTAAAATTCACATTTTATTTTATGTTAATAATTACAATTTATTCGTAATTTTTCAACTATTACAAAACGCGGTAAAAATTTAAAATTCAATTAATTGTTGATAATTTATAGAAATGAAAAAACACTAAGGAAGACAGCAAATAGTCGCAAACAAATAACAACCGGTTTATACATTTTTTTTTCCAATTAACAACGCTAACGGTCGATGTAAGGCTATCAAACGTGACTGTTTAAAGTGCAAACTAAACAACGACTTTTGTTTAATGTGTAACCCACTTAATAAACGTTCATATTATATTGGCGAACGTTAATTAATCTTTGCAAATTTAAACTAAACTGGTTTAATATACATTACACCAGTAAGCACTGCAGGAAAATCTTTTGCGCATTACCCATGTCTGTATTGAATAACATGGTTAATTATTATTATATAATCTCTTCTGTACAATGTTAAATAATTTTTTTTTTGCCAATCTTATGTCAACTACGATATCAGCTACAATAAGCAAAATAATAAACTGGTGCAAACATTGTTTACTATTACCAGTAGAGCAATTGACAATGCATACCGGCATGTCAAGTTGATTAAATACTCATGAAAAGGATTAAACATTATCAAACGGTGTTCCTATAAATAATTATAAAAAAATTATCTATTTTAATAGTCAACCGAGTTTATAGAACCCATACACCTATTATCTGTATTACACGGAATGCGATGCGATAAGTACATAAAATAAAATCCAATCTAGTATTGAGGTTATTTTTTAATTTAAATATAGAGCTTTTAGAAAATCGTAAAAATTGTATATGAGATTTCAATGCTGGTAAATATAGTTCTCATTTTTAACATGATATTATCTTATTATGACGGTTCCACTTATCTCTCTGTACATCAAATTATTATCATGACCGTGACGTTTTAATTTTTCATATACGTTAACATTTATATTGTAAAAATAAAAAATATTCTGTATAAAAATTTCTATTGTAAGTTTAATTCGCGTAGCTAGAAAGAAATTGGCAATAATAATATCGAATATTCGATAAGAGGCGGCTTTCTATCAGATTTTTAAATATAATAATAATATTATCCCAGTTACAGGTTCTATCTTTAAAATAAAAAAAAACCTATTGTTTAGATAAAAGATGGGCGGGTGTTTTCAACACAAACTGTATCGGAAGAAAGTCAATATTACCCATGCATCATTATACCTCAATATCAATACTATTGTCCGACGTTATGTTCAATTTTTTTTACAACCGAGAAAATCTTCATAGACCGTCACAGTGCACTGTACTTTTGTTATACATGCTCGGATTTCATATTGTACTGTCACCGAGGAGATATACTTTCATATAATATATATTATACACATATTATTACATTGTATGTGAACGGTACTCCTTTATAACTGTGTCTAATATGACGTGTAAAGCCACCGAATGTGTTGTGTTGTACATACAGTATTATCCAACTGCCAACATTTAATTCCCTGTTTCGTTTTTAGTGTAATTGCTAATGTTTAATACTATATTTTAAACTACTGTTTATCTATTTATTGAAATTATAATATCGAAAGGCGACTTAACTAAAAAGTATAAGAACCTTTAAAAAAAATAAAAGACAGAGCTAAATGATATTGCGATGTTTGTTAGTTTTCTTCAATCTCTTTCAAAAGTTGATAAAAAAAATTGTATGGTCAAAACTGTGACTGACGAAAAATTGGGCGTAAATAAATAAAATAAAAATACTTTGGATGTCATGGCCTGAATTTGTTTTTTATGATTTATTATTGTTGTTGCTTTGTATTAACTTTATTGGTTTACATTTTTTTTCAGCCAGGACGAGTGGCCACTTTAGTCGAAAACCCAGAGGTTAGTATATTCATATTATTTTATTAATACTTTGTATACTTTTAAGAGGACGCCACACCGGCCATTTTTAAGGAGTAAAGTATAGGCAATTTTTCGAAAAATCTTAATTTAGAGTTTGAACTATAATGTATACTTATTAATACAGTAATGAGGATACTATGTTAATAGCCATTTTTTTTTGGCATACTATCACAGTCATTTATATAGGATAAAATACATTTTTTTGGTTATTCAAGGTGTGCTAGGCGCTTCGGCTACATCCTAGCGCACTTGGTCAATTTTGACCAAAATTCGACTTACACACTTACTCATAGTTGTTACAGTTATTCAAAACACATTATTTATAGTTATTTTACTTGAACAAACATATTTTCTGAGTTTTAACAACGTTCATTAATCATTAGTTTTCAATTATTTTTCAAACGACAAAATAATAAAATTTCATTAATATTCAAGTCGACGAGGAATAATTTTTTTTTAGGAGGGGCTAAATTTTAGTCAAGGGGCTAAGACCTCTCCCCGTTCACCACCATAGATGTTTAATAATTATAATATGTATATTATATTCGTTGGTATTGTGTTCTTGATGGCAGACTGTGTGATCATATTATGTCTGTAAGAATATTGAAATGCTTACAATTCATATGTCTATTGGCATCTTGTTCGTGTAACCCTCACTTCATCGCGGCTCTGGTCTGTCGCTGTGGCTGTGTCTGTTGAAAATTATCATACAAGTGTATGATAAATATGTGTAAACGAAGAAACGAAATGGGTTTTTTTTATATATAAACTAAACATGAATGAACTAAAATATAACAAATGCGATACGCAACCGGTAGAGGTTGCAAATCTGAGGTTTTTTTAGAGTGAGAAAGAGAGATTAGTTTAATGCAGACAAAGTATTATGTGAGTTGTATTATAAGAAAAACGTGTTTTCGTTGCTTATCCTTTATCGGTTTACCTGCAAGATAACGTCGTCTGTTTACTTTGAAAAAAAAAATACAAGATAACAAATGACAATATTTATGTTTATCTTATCTAGTCTAGTTACACGGTCGTCGCGTCTTGTCTATATGAATGCCGATCTAAATATTTAGTCGTGAGAAACGATTATTATTGTAATTAGTATTCGAAATTGCGTATTAACGTTTTATTTATCTACGTTGAAGATTTATTTGCAAAATTACAGGCCACGCTTGAAATATTATGTCGTGCTTGGCAATCACATTTTCGACTAATATGAGTTATGGCTAATGTACAGCGTTTCTTTTCAAAGCCGACACGAGTAAAATCATTATAAAAATCTTACAATTACACATTTTCACATTTATCGCTTTATTTTACAGAATTATACTAACATAATGAACACCTAAACTAAGCAACTCAATTTATATATTGAGTTAACTATAACTATATAACTAACACATTTTTACAATACTTTTAATTGTCTTCCATAATTCACATCCCTTGTATTAATAACTATAATAGGACATCTCCGAGCAGGGTAGTTATATGGTAATGAGCATATTTTGTTTATTGTACCGTTCGTAATATTATACAACTAATAATAATACTTGTATTGATCTAGTGTAATAAAACTGAATTTAAGTATACCAACTATTATTATAATAGTTAAAATTCTTTAAAAATTCTTTTAAAATTCATAATTTTTCTTTGATACATTTGTATTATAAAAAATATACAACTCAATGTTACATAGGATTAAATATACCAAACTCAATCATTTTTCTAGTTGTAAGTATATGAGCCATGATAACAGTATCTATCTAAGTTGTAAATTATAATTATTATTGTAGTTGGCTCTTATCCAATTTTACCCGTCAAATTTATTGATTGTGTGATCTCTTAAGCAATATCTTTTTCTTATTGTGACAAAGTTGGATGTACTAATTTCAATTAGTCAACCCTTGGTCTTTTATTCGATATGAACGTTTCCAAAATTGATTTTCAATATTTTTATTTTTATTCGGATTCTGATTTAAAAAAAACCTAGATACGCCCGGCGTTTTCTCAAGCCTATTAAATTTAATAATATTACATGCCCGATTATTGGACATGTTTTACTCTCACTCACAATCAAAAATAAATTGTTATTGCACCGACCGACGCGCAGGTACTTATAATATAAGGTTGATCATATAAAAATTATAAATAAAATATATACATTATGACTGTAATAGGGTTGTGTTTATAATTTATATATATTATAATAATAATATCAATACCGGTTCGAAAACTCGCAACAGTAATAACACAATGCGCGGGTAAGAATTTTGTATTAAAGGCACAACAAAATTATATAGATTCGATCATTTATATCTAATCATTTTATATTGTAAATTATTATTTAAAAAAATGACAGTAGCGCGATTAGAGAGAGAGAGATACATGAATGGCGGTGTACCACAGGGCTTGGTCGTTTAATTATAGACATTAGTGCGGTCAAAAGGTCTCTGTAATATTATTATTATAGTGGTATAGTTACCTGGATATATTTTTACCTATAGATTTTAGTTTCTGAATTAAAATCATACTTCACCGGCGTCTATTTCACGTGGGGAAATAAAAAGGAGTTGTTTTTGTATTATCTTCAAGTGTGTATACTATTATATATGGTACAGGAGTATTAATGAAACAAATGAAATACGTGTGGGGTACACATACATACACTTACTCTACACGTTGGTGTATTATTGTGTCCCGTACCCAAAGGATATACCTATATTATTATAGGTATACTGTATACACCGATGTGTATATATAAGTGTCTAAGTGTATATATAAAAGAAGCGTGACTGTTGGTAAAATAATAATATTTCATTAATCATTATATTATATATACCCGTGTTGTATTAATAACGCACATAATATTTCATCGAGTGTACGTGAGTTTATTTTTATTGCATTTTTGGATATTGTTGTTAATTATCGAAGTCCAACCTAACCGACCGACCGATTATTATTATATTACAATATTACACAACACAAGACACAATGATAAACGGTTGCGATCGGAACGCTCATAAAAAGAAATAATAATAGGTATATAGAAATGTGTTAAGTTAAAATAATATGATAATCAACAGCCGACGATTGGTTAAAAATATGTATTTTCAGAGTTATTTAGCTAACCTACATTCCCTACGTGTTGCTGCAAGGTCGGCTTTTGTAAAAAAAAATCCAAATGAAAATATAACTGTAGTAGTATACACCTCAAATGTTCATTGGCACAACTAGATGAGGGGGGAGGGGGGCGCTGAGGAAGTTCAAACTTTTTAAAAACTCCTCTGAGAGCTCACTGGGAATTTCAGTGAAAATTATGAACCTTACTCGGAGGCTGTGCCTGAACAAGTTTAGAACAATTTGAACTTCTACGTTGCGCCAATGCAAATATTATGTTATAGTAGAAAAACGTTCATGTTAATTATATTTTTATCATGGAAATGTTAGGTGATATATATTTTTATTTGACATAAACAATCTATACTTAACTAAATCTATACAATAAGCTTATATTATGATAAGAGTAAGAATATGGACTTGCAGGCTTGATAAGAATTGTCGCCGATTAGCAACAATTAATTATAGATGATATCTAAGTTATTATGTTGAGAAATTGTCATGTTTACGATTATTGTTTTAACCTATTGATTTGCGCATGTTGCTCATCTAAGTGATGTATTATTGTGATTTCAGGGCTTCGTATGGGGAAAAGCGTTCCACCTACCGGACGAGTTCGCTTTCCAATATCTGCAGATGCGGGAAGTGTTCATGGGCGGTTACGAGGTGCACAAAGTGGACGTGCACTCGGAGGACGGCAGCCGGGTAGTGAACGCTACGGTGTACGTGGCCACCGGCGACAACAGCCAATGGCTGGGCGAGGCGCCGGTGGACGAGTTGGCCGCGCAGGTGGCCACATGCTCGGGACCGGCTGGCCACAACGCCGAGTACGTGATACTGCTGGCCCGCTGGGAACGGCTGTACGCGCCCGACGACCGGTTGGACGCCGAGTTGGCCGAGCTCGAACGGCTGGTCATTGGCCGGCTTACCGAGGCCGGTATCAACATCGACGACGTGCTTACTACCAATAAGCGCGTGTCGTTCTCGTCCATGGTGCCGGAGAAGAAGCTGCGATGCCTGCACATATGAAAGGCCAGCTTCCTACAAACTACGCGTTTCGCACGGATACGAAACTTTCGTTATCCGACGCGAAAACTGTTGTCAGTTTTCCCGAGTTCTTACGTCGTTTGTGTCCATTGCGTATACGTCACGTCAGCATCCGAATTGTTATATATATATATTTACACTTAATATGGTAATTAACTATTTTTAACGCTTACTTTTAATACCTATATTGCCTAAATACACTTACATTGTTGTACCTCGACGTTTTGGTTCGACTTTTTTTTTTAAATTGCCCACAACTTGGAATTATTATTTTATAGCTATTTATTAATATTTAAATGTAACTAACAACTAAATTCTATTTTGTAGAACACATATTTATATTATATTTATGATAAATTCGATCGTGATTATTTATGTATGTTAAAAAGTACTCCGTTTAGTTTGTGAACTTCAACAGGGTAACGTCAAGTTAAATTTTATTATATAATAAATATGTGCTAGCATGTAAGAACTATGTAAATCACGTTACCGACATTTTGTAATATGTATTTTTTTTGTTTTAAACTTATTATTTTGTACGCGTACCGACTACGTTATTAATGTTGTTATAATATAATATGTAATGATAGCTGTTATGTATCTTTTTTCTTACCAAAAAAAAAAAAATAAACACTGTGCATTGTTATAATAATATTTAAACACAATCGCTGTGTACGTATTGTTGTGATGTCTAAATAGGTGAGTGATTTGTTATGCGTTAGGCCTACTGCCGGGCGACGTCAAACGCTACTTGCCTGTTAACTCTCTGCGGGCCGAATTCTGTGCTGTGCTTATACTGAAACCATATTTATTTTCTGGGGATAGGTTTAAAAAATTACAAAAATCTACATATTCTCCCGTTTTACTTTTAACGATCCTCAATCATTATATTATTATTGACAACGGTCTCTTTTTATAAAATTCTCTCTTATCATCAGCTGTTATCCGTCTTTTATTAATCAGTAACGAGCACGATTAGCAAATTTTAATATCGCGGAGTAAGTATTTTGTCAATTGTCAGCACAGATATACAGTATAATATAATAAACTAGAATGCTAACTTGAAGTCGACGTCGGCCATTTATGTGTGTATTAAATGGTATATATATGTGTATCTGTGTTATCAACTTAACTAGTGATAAACAGTGGTAAGAGTTATAAACATGTGATAAAGTTCTACACAAAGATGGCGGAAAACGGTGACTTCAATTATTATCTCTATTGGCGGCATGTACACTTAGCAATCTAGTTTATTAATTATTATATAATATATCTATGATCGTCAGGCTTTTGTTAGCGATAAAAGAGAATAATAATTGCCTCAAGGAATATATACCGTGGGTATTAATCGAAACCGTGTGTGTTGTTTTGTTTGTTTGTATAATGATATTAGTATAATATGTATAACGATTTTAAAGTATGTCTGCATATTAGGTATATTTTTATTTTATTTTTTACAACCGTTCATATTAATTATTACCCACGTGTATGACATAATTATTCACAGCTATAATATTATACCTAGTATGTTATTCGCCCAACTGTCGACAAAATAACCAATAATAATAAAAACGACACAAAATGAGGCATTGTCGTTATGCGTGTGTGTGTGTTATGTTAGAAACCGTTTTAAACATAAAACAACAATAATAGACGTACACGTGTGACGTGTCTGGTGAACCGTTTGGTTTATTCGCGCGTGTAATGGAACCCGTCCAACTTCCAAGTATATTATGTATGGTATGTATAAGTGTATATTTTCGTCCAAGATCGTCTCGAGTCGATGATTATTTCCATCGAACCCTTTGTTTTGGCGCCGGCAATGGGTTTAGTTCATTTTCTACTCCAAGGACAGGGACAACACCATAGCCGTTACATGTAAATCGAATTTCGCGCACAAAACGAACGATCAAATTTATATTATTATTATAATGCACTGCTGTGGCCCGTGTCGTCGTTCTTATACAGAGTTCAACGACAAACATTGGCGCCGTCAGGCGTGTGTGTAATAATTATAATAATAGCTATAATATAATATATGGATCGTCGTTAAACCAGCACTCGGAAGGAGTTTAAAATCAAATTGAGTAAATCCGTCAAACGCTGCCACGACCAAAAGACGAACAATTTGTTTCATCGTTTTGTATTTTATGTACCGTCTTAGTATACATTTCCTGAGAGTTGTAAACGATAAAATATATAGGTAAAATTAACATGGTTACGTTATTAGGGCTGGATACAAGAAATTTTATGTCGCCGTTTTCGCGTTACACAAAAAGTGATATCACGTGAACATATCCACGATTCAATGTTTTTCTGTGGAGCGGTGAAAATATTAACTAGATTCTTTTTTCATACATTATCTTTGCAGAGAATTTTTAATAACCCAATAATACAGTTTATATTTTTTTGTTTTCATATACTTTTCTTGTGACACTTAGAAAATGACAAATTCATCATTCGATTACGCTGTGACACAGTACAAAAGATAGTACACGCAGATGCGACGGGTACATTTTTTTTTTTTAGCAATGTAGTTAATTAATACAACAGAGTTTTAATAATTGGCTTACTTATCTAACTAATTGCGGCCGGGGCAATCCCCACACTTTGCTGAGCTCTATGTATACATACACACTTTTTTTTAAATATATTTCTGTATACCTATACTGTTTTTTTGTGTGAGATAGGTTAGGTATACAGTGTTAAACGAGTGGAAGGCAGCAACTACGATTGTGTTGGCATAGCAAGCTGAAAACAAGCACACACACACACACACGTTCCTGGTGATTTAATCTTTCTGTTCTTTGGCAAGAGACGCGAGTGTGTTATATAAGGTGTGGGAATTGTGTAGATGGGACCGGCGTGGGAGTGCGGAATCTGTCGACTTGAGTGTATCTTCTGCCTTCTACAACAACATTACTGCAAAGGTTTATTTATCTCGGATATTCAGCTCACGTGTTAATCGGACGATTAATATATAAATATGCAAATAATAATAATATGATAATAATTTTCCTCATCGTAAATCCGTCAGCGCTGATGCCGGCCATGTTATCATCGTTGTATACAACAAGTACCATTATTATTATTATAGCTCAATGTGTGAAACTTATGCTCTTCCTCAAGTTTTGTACAGTTTCGCCGCCTTATATAATATTATGCTCGTTATGGATGAATGCAAAGCTATATGTTTTCTGTGTACCTTACACCTAAGTTTCCCATTATTCTCTGGGCATTCTTTTTCTTTTCTTTTTTTTTTTGTCTTAAACGCCGCATCTATTACTCGAGACGGGTTAATCCGTGTTCTCAGATAGTTAACCTTGGTATATATATATATATATATATATAATCTCCTCTGCCTATAGATCATAATACCGTGGCGCCTATGTGTACGGCAGCCGTATTAAACCCTTTTCTAAATCAGTGCCATACTCTGGTTAAACAAATTACCGTCATTATAATAATACATTATGTATAATCGAAATATGAACATATTAATATTGTATATTCGGTAAATCGGCAGTTTTACTTTAGCCGTACGTGATACTTAACAGCGTGAAAGCTACGGAGAAAATATCTATATACATTTTTTAAGTGTATATTACTTTTCATTTTCGACCAAACGGTATGTATAATAATATTAGAATACTATTATTAACGTTCAAGTGTACTTGTATAATAGCCGGTCAATGCCGAGCCCAATGGGATGATGATAATGATTATTACTAATTCTTATGATGTCTTTTATTGTTGGAAATAACGGGATGTTTACAACGTCATTACCACCGTATATATTATTAATGAAACCGGAAATTGGTTAATATCAATTGCCAATACGTTGTCGGTTGTACGATGATATAAAACAATAAATAACCAACAGATGTTGCTCGTACTTATATTTTTTTCAACAATTTATCGATAACTCCCCACCTGTGCTTAGGGGCAAAGGGTACGTTGTAGGTAGTGTAAGGTTGACTATGAGGACTGTTGAACAAAAACACATTGTTTAGCAAAAGCAATAATAATGAATTAGAGAATGATGGGATTTTAGTTTTGTAAAAAACATTTAAGTTCATCCACCCTTTTTTTCAGGTTATTTTGGAAGTCAATTTTCGGATAACGGTTCGTTTAATTATAAAAACAATAATGGGAATACTAAAAATTTGAGAAATTAAATTAGAAATTAAACAAAATTTTAGTTATCAAAAATAAAAAAAACGATGTCTTTTAAGGGTTACGTATAGGCAATTTTTCATAAAAATTAATTTAAATTAACACTACGAATTATATTTATCATTAGTATAGCTAAGGTGACGCCATACACTCTATATAAGGAGTTAGGTATAGGCAACACCTTGCAAAATCTTGATTTAAAGGTTAAACCGTGATGTGTAATTATTAGTTCAGTAATTAGTACTCGTTAAATTTTTTTTTGGTAGTTAATTTATTTTTTTGGTCTACACATCATCCTTGATAGCGATTTAACTATTTTTGTTTGTCATCTAAATATAACTCTAAGCATATTCTCAATTATTGGCTAAAAAATAATAATTATAAGACAATTTTTTTCACATATTTATAATACTGAGAACTTTATCTAGGTACTCTCGTTGGCTTTTTGTGTTATAATATAATTATTATATCATTGGGATAATACCCAATGTTCACAATTTATATTATAACTTTAATATTTTTTTTTTACTTTTTTAAGTTCTAGTTAATGTTCTCCACTTTTAACGGTATCAAAATGAGTTTTCTATGACTATTTCACTTTGCCATAAACACGTTTTACGATTATTTTTAAAGGTCATAACGTTATAATATTTTATTTTTTCTACTAGACTATCATAACCTTCATACTAAATGTTAAAAAAAATTACTAGCTTTCCTAATCGTCATAGCCAAAATAAACTATGATGTTTGTTAGCTTCTTGAAAAATAATAAAACTCAAATTGAGCGTTGTCAAAGTTCAAGATATCATCATTTTTTTTTTGTTTCAAAAAGTAATTTTATTCCACTTTTCGATTTACCGTTAACAAAAAACAACAAAAATTATGAAATTAAAAACTAAAACTCACCGAGCAGGTATTGTGTAAGTCTTGATTTGTCAAATAATATTAACATAATTTATATACAATGGGTGTTCAGAGGTTCAAAACCCTCGTTTTTGCACCACATAACAGTAATGAGTCCTTTTTAAAATTAATTATGATGATAATAATAATCACCTTTTTTATTTTTGTAAAATTGTACCGTTTTTTGTGTTTAATTAGTTTACGCTAATTAGTGGTATTTATTCGTCTCGTTTCAAATCAAATTTGATCCGACGGTGAAATCTAGTTGTCGGCTAAGTAAAATTTAACTATATAACTTCGTTTTGAGGTGTTTTTAGGCCAACTTTTATTCAGGTATGCGTTTGAATATGTCCAATCAAAAAGCATTTAATAATAATTCAGTAAGACAATACCGAGTGCTTGCCGCAGGCATTTGAAACTTGTCGATTTTTTATGGCGCAATGGTAAAATAAATTGCAATCTTGTCATTCCTTATTACACGGTACTTCTTAATTTATCAATGCTCTTAGACGTTTGTCGTTCACAGTCAACCTAAGTTATTGACCTCAAAAACTGTTGCTTGCAGTCTGGTTTTATATACGACCACCCGTCATTAAGTATTTCATTTTTTTTATTCTGTTCCAATTAATGTTTACTGTTTCCACGCGTTTATGCAACGTTCATTTATTTTGGAAAACATTAAAAAACGTACCTACGCTGAATTCGGAATGTAAACGTTTTATTTTTTATTTTTAGGCTGTTCATTTATTTTTTACTATTTCTGGTTTTTATTTTAATCGCTCGAATTTATAAGTTATTTAATTATGTTACATCACGATTAATTCGAAATATATATAATAGAAACAAAATAATATTATTTATTTTATTTAATATTAGATAATTTATAACTTGGATAAGCCGCCTTCCGGAAATCAACTATTTCTATTCCGTATAAGCATCCCCCACTCATTATTAACGAAAGTTTACAAGTGTGTCAAATTAGAAGATACTTAAATGAGTCAAGACCATTCGGTGATCATTGAAACCTTATGAAAATTTATACTGTACAAAAAGTGTAAATTAGTATTTACTAACGTAAAACTGGTTGCTGGTAGTGAGGTAAGAAATAAGAAATTAGAGATAAGAGATTTAGAGTTCAAATATGGTCCAGCTGGATGCTGGAGGTGAGGTAAGAGATTAGAGATTAGAGTTAAGAGATGCTGCTGACAGCTGGATGCTTATCATAGCTTTAGTGACACAAAGTCATTACCAACTTACAATTCTGTATCTCTGTAAAAACAGATAACATAAGAATGGCTAGTCCGTAACTTAGTTGGTAGTTCGGTGAATTTATGAGCTGCACACATTTTCCGTTAAGACCGGATGATGTCAATATTATAAAACTGTCTTGGTTAGTAACTCATAATCTTAAATACACTTTACGGTTTACCTTGCGCCGCGCTTCTCACCGTGTCTCAATTCCAGCCGTTCTCATAAATAAACGATTCGAAACTGGTTACTTATCGAACACCTATTTTTTCAATAGATGGTTAATTTATTTTTTAATTTAACACACAATCGATACGAAATAGATGCTTGTTTGGATTTCAAAAAAATTAAATAATATCCATGCACAACATAGCATAATCTATTGCCCATGACAAGATTCCTTACGAATATAATTAAAGTTATAATAATGATAAGCTACACGATTGTCAGCAGGATACTCTGTGGACTTAATTATTAAAATTACAATTTTTATGTTGTAAGGACCTCTCTACATGAGAATTTATTAAGGCGCTTTATATATGCAATTTTTCAATAAAACTGAACATTAAGCTAAGATTGCTAAGACGTGTATTTGTGCCGCCAGTAGAGATAATTGAAGTTACCATTTTCTGCCATCTTTGTGTAGAATCTTATCACATATTTCTAACTGTTCTTTCACTGTTTATAACAATTATTACCAATCAAGTTGGTAGCACAGAATTACAGATATATTAATTAATACACACATGCATCTTACAAAAAAGGCCGAGGTCGACTTCAGTACTTATCACTAGTTAGCAATCTAGTTTATTAAATATATATATATATATATATCTGTGTATTAGGTTCTTGTTTTGGTCTTCGAGTCGAGATAAGATTTTTTCAAATACATTTAAATTTGATAACGCGTTGTAATCGCTTGTGTGCAGTGTTTATTGTGTTTACATGAAAAAAGGAACGTATCTATCCGGTTTTCAACTCGCATTCGGTAATTACATATCTCTTGCCGGGACTTTAATTGTCGGTTGTGATTTATCGTGGAATCCCCGTTATATACCGAGAAATAATAACACAATTTTAACAACTTGTATCAAACATATCCGCCACGGATGATGAACACATAAGTCGTATTATAATGGTGATAATATTAATAGTATGCCTTTTAAATAATATAGTATCGAGTACTTGACACGCAAGGAAAACAGCTTCGTGAAGAAGAGAAACGTCGAACAAAATAATCATGTTATCAGTTTTACAACGTATAAGATAACATATTTTTGATAAGATAAGAAAGTGATAACAATACAATAACGTTTTTGGTTTTAATTACAAAATATTATATTAATTAAGAAATAACGTCTATGATAATTTTAAGTGGCGCCCAGTCTTGGACGTCATACCACCACATTATTAAGGAGATCGGTATAGGCAATTTTTTTGCAAAATCTTAATTCAAAGGTTAAACTGTGTTGTGTAATTATATTAGTATAGTAATTAGGATTATTTTTTTTGGTAGCTATTTTATTATTCGGACTATCACTTTGACAGCGATTTAACATTCTTTTTTACTCATCTAAACATATTCTTTATTATTGGCTAAAAATAATAATCGTAGACATTTTTTTTTACCTATTTAAAATAATGAGAATTTTATCTAGGTCTCTCGTCGGTTTTCTCATATTTTAAGCCCAATATTCACCATTTATATTTTAATTCTGACATTTTTACTTTTTTAGGTGCTTGTATTTAAGGCAAAGTTCTAAAAAAACCGAGTAGTTATTTAAAAAAACTTACAAATTACAAATAAATAATATAACAATTTAAACCATAATATGTTTTTACGGGAACGATGATGGTTTATTTATAATCTGATATTACGAGTATTATGATTTGCGCGATACGTTTTAGCGCCGTTAATTATGTTAATTAACTTCTTATTGGTACTATTACAGGTTAGATATACTTATTAACAATAGCACAACAGGATCGAGACAAACGATGGAGAATAACGATGGTTGCCACTGAAACGTATTGTGTTTAAAACAATATTATGAGCGTCTAAAAAAAAAAAAACATATTAATAGACAAGACCGGTAGCCGTACAACGAATATTAATACAATAAAAGCATGTTACATATACATATAATACCTTTATGTATTATTAAAAAAAAAACGATCAAATGTTCTAAGAACTTCTTGGTCGTTGTGTGTGTGAGCTGTATAAGACCTGTGTACATCTATCTATGTATGTATGTATGTATATATGTATGAATAAACCATTTCCTCCCGTCTTACCTGATTGCGGTCTGGATTTGATGAATCTCGGCGGCGGTCGGTGTATAATATGTACATGTATAGCCGGTGAAACCTGCTGCCTGCGCCACCACCTGACGACCGTGCAGGGTGCGTTTGTACAGTATGTAAGTCTGTATTACATTTGCTTTGCCGGGCTACTAAAATAGAATATTATAATAAAGAAATTTATAAAATATCATAATACACTATATGCGTACTCGAATATATCGTATTTGATCATGAATTTTTTGTTTGTCTCCATGTGAACCTATAAAACGATGGGCGAAAAGCATAAAACTGTGGTTTTTAGAAAAAGTATTGCTTCAAGGTGAAAATGCTAAAGGATCTTTTTTGTAGAGAATTTTATCGGCTTTGGTTTTGTACATTACTTTCGTGTCCGTATAGTCAATAGAAATCGAGATATTTGCAAAAATTAGATTTTACCAACTTTGGGACTCCGTCCGTTATCACGCGTACAACATATCAATGGGGACTTTTCAGGATTTGTTCAAACGTCGAATAGAAGATCAAACAAATTATTGAAAATTATTCCAAACTCAAATCCCATATGTAACAGAAATTCAGGAAGAGCAGTAAGAGACGTCGGTAGAAGTATCTCTCGGGCGGCATATATCTTTTTAGGTAAGACTAGTCTAGTGCTTGATTTAGGGGGGGAGGGGCTGAGTACCACAACTGATTTTTTGGATATTCTAACGTACTCCTACTTTTTGTTTTAAGGAGAACGCACGGAACGGGTATTTATTTAAGCTTACCTGCTTTTATAAAATTTCTCAACTTAAATGTTTTGTGTGAATACACAATCCCTTTGTTTTGGACGGTGTGCGAACGTCGCCTTATAGGTGTCTGGGGTTCCCACGGTTTTCTTGAGAGATCCGACGGCAGCAGCTGTTAGCATAGGACCAGAAAGGACCCAGGGCGCGCGAACACCAGCTGCGGCAAAAAGGACCTCGGCTGCCTCTAAGCTGCCGGCCGCGACCTTATCAACTATTCTTATCCCGCCGGCCTCAGCTGTCTGCCCCCGCCGCCTCGGTTGTTGTCTATAGGACAAGGTCATTTTGTCTTTTTCTTTACATTTCCACGGCCGCTTGTTGTTCTCTTTATGCGTTTGTGAGGCATTAAAAAAAAAAAAAGGCGAACGCCAGTTAGTCGACTCAATGTAAATACCAAAATCACACCTGACTTACACAAGCGCGTAGGTAAAGAAGCCGGTATCAATTTATCGAGATAACAAGTCTGATGCGTTCAACCTCTCAAGTGTGCCTATTATCTATTGTCTACTTACCACCGAGTGTACATATTGTATTGTGTACGATGCAGTTATTTATGCAATGCTTGCAAACCATCAACCATTGTAAAGACAAAATAAATTGTGAAAAATTGAGATCACATTGTATAAAAGCAATATGGAAAATTTTGTTTTTATTTCTTATTAAGAGGACGTCACACACCCGTTATTTTCTTCAAAAAACCCTCCTTGCGCGGAATAATTTTACGAAGGCTATAATCAAAATTAAGAAACCAAATTTTTACATAATATAGACAACAACATTGTCTGTGTTCTACCATCGCCTTTTTTTAAATATTTTTACCAATTAATGAATAATTAATTAATTAAGAAAAGACTTTTCTTACTTTTTTAAAAATGATATAGCGTTGGTTGTATTAGGTATATCGAAAAAATATGGATGGTAGAACACAGATAATTTTGTCATAAATAATATGCATGAATTTCTTTCCTTAACTATGTATGAAGCCTGAGAAAAATTAATCAGCGCAAAGCAGTTTTGGTGGCAAAAAAAATGTATTTTATCCTATAGAAATGACTGTGATAGTCTGACAAAAAAAATGGCAATTAACAAAGTATTCTCATTACTGTGTTAATAAGTATACATTATAGTTCAAACTCTAAATTAAGATTTTTCGAAAAATTGCCTATACCCTACTCCTTGGAAATGACCGGTGTGGCGTCCTCTTAAACCCTATGAGATATTGAGTGGCTCATGATAAAAAAAATCAGCCGATACAAAAAACCAATACCCAGAATTGTATACCCGCAATTTTTATAGATTATTATTTGTATCAAGTTTAAGAATAATTAGTGAACTTTTGTTTTATCAAATGCGCATTGAAACTTTCAATGTCAAACTTTTTTTTTTAAAGGTTGTTGAAAGCGGACGGATTTTAAGGAGTTTTACTAAGGCAATAATTAAGAAAAACGAATAAATGAAATAATATCTTGTCTGAAGGTCAAACAATTAATTTTCTCTAGTAAAATTCGCCTGCGCAAACAGAAAATAAGGCTGCAATTATAATAGGAATAGAATATACATCTACTTCTTGTATATTAACCTAATGAGCTGTATATAAACTGTACAACAACTATATTACGATAATGATTATGATTACTTTTGCTTAAGTTCGTTGCGTTTATTTTATTGCACAAAGTGGGTCTTCCTTTAATCAGCGCCTATTTAAAAATAAATATATACATATTACATTGTAGTTGCGCCAAACTTAAAGGTAATCAAGGTTTAAAATTTAAACTCTACCCTTTTAAAATAGAATACCATAACAAAACTATTGAAAAGTGAATCTTTTTTACAAAGGCTACTTAAAATACTGACCTCCATCGCTGATTTTAGCCTCGAACTAATTATCTTGTTGAAATGTATCTTGACAAATATAAATAAATCTATAATAGGTATTTAGGAAAAGCAACACCTCGGGAAATTCAAATTTTACAAGAAAGACAACAAATCAACATTACTATATTATGAATATGTTCAATATGAAAAAAAAAATTGGACACTTTGCCTATTTCAAACACCGCGTTCAATTATATATAATATTAATTTAAAAAAGAGGCAGCGCTACCTCGTTTCGTTACCATAGATAAAATGCATAATATATAAAATGCACAGTAATGACAATCATAATATTCTGCGCACTTGTATTACTTGTAAATTAAGCATGTTTAACTAACGTGTTAATTAACAATTAATTTAACATGTTACTATAATAATTGTGCCTATCAAATCATTGTTTTGACCTATTACCAAACTCCCAAGAACTACCTTATCTAGAAAAAAATGTCTGATCTCAACGAACCAGAAATACGGGTAGGTATAAAATAGTTAATGTTTAATCAACAAAATGCACAGTAATGACAATCATGATAATTTACACTTACCTATATTACATTATTCCTCTATAATCGGTTAAACAAAAACCATGCTATACTATAATATTGTACTTATCAAACTTGCTGTTTTGACCTACTACCAAACTCCCAAGAACTGCCATATCTATACCGTCGTGAACACAAAATTGCTGATCTGAACGAATCAAGCACACCTATAAAATAGACGATATTTATTACTTTTGTAATAATACCACTTTGTACTTGCTTCTTACTAGCCGTACCCAACGCGATGTTGGGTTTTCACAAAACTATGTCCCTTTATTGCGTGCTATTGCTATGCTTAGTGTCGCGTTTAACTGAAGCAGCTGCCGTGGATAGCCAGAACATTGTAGAAGGCACAGGTTAGTAGTATATAATATTGCTACCACTTGTCGTTTTTTAATAATAATAACGCCTTTTTGTGTAGGTACAGTGAATACAGTATGTTTTAACGGATTGGGATGCCTGGACTTCAAACCTAACCTGAATGCGGAAAATGAAGAACCAATGCAAGTGTTCGAGCTTTTCACCAGGAAGAATAAAGAAAATGATCAGGTACAAATTTTACAAATCTTTTAGACCATAATTTATATGCTGTAGATATCTACACTTTCTTCTTTTTTTGTTTTCAGGGTCAGATGCTGGACGTTAAATTTACTGAAACAATAACAAACTCAAATTTTCAACCGAAAAATCCTACAAAGATCCTTATCCACGGTTGGATGTCCGAAAAAGAAGACATGCGGTCATGGATGCCGGTAACGCAAGTTACGTTTGAACTATAGTCTTTCAATTAAATTCTATTTTTTTTTTGTGCAGGATTTTAAAGATGAACTGTTAAAAAATTCCGACTCAAATGTCATATTCGTACAATGGAAAAGTAGCCAAATCTGGTACCCTACCTCGGTACAACAACTTAAAGGCGTAGCAAACGAAACCGCTATTCTAATCAAATATTTAAAGGTAATGTTAAAAATCTATGTATGTTTCTTAGTTGTATAATAAAATATATAGGGAGTAGTAATTTGCATAGTTCGACCAAGTAATTACAATAATTAAATTTGTCGATACACCAACGATAGTTATTTTAAATGGATTAAACAGTATAATATTATGAAGAAATGTCGATTGGCATATGGCTTGAAGAATTGTGTAGTGGCTAGTATTTTTTTTAAACTTATTTTGGTCTATATAAGACCATTGTTTTTTTGAAATTTTATTGAAATAACGGAAATAGGTCGAGATTTTTTCCTATTTTTTTTTTTTTGAAATGAAAATTTGTTTTTTCAAAACCGGAACAAAAATGTATAGTTTTAGTTTTTTTATTTAAAAATATCATCTTGGTAAAATTTTATTTTTTGCATATTTTGGCAGCAAATAGTGAAAAATGTACGAATAAAATAAAAAATAATACAGGGGCCTCACAGAATTCATAATACATTATATTTATACACAACTAAATTGTATTGTTTTTAATTTTATTTCGTAAGGCACATTTTTCACATTTTACTCCCAAAATAAGAAAAAAATCAAATTCCATCAAAGCATATTTTATTTAAAAAAAACTAAAAATATAAATTTTTCAAATTTTGAAAAAAAACAATTTTCATTACAAAAAAAAAAAAAATAGAAATAAATCTCGGCCCGTTCTCGTTATTAAACGTAAAGAGTCGATTTAAGTGTCTGATTTTATGATAAAAATTTCAGAATTTCAATACTGGTCGAAATCGATTTTTCGTTAAAAACTTACTTAAAAAACCTCTATTAAAAAAAAAAAAAAAAAAATACTATTCGTTACCTGTTACGTTTTCGACAACCACAGTCTTTGTATACAATTATTATAAGTTTTTAAATTATATATTTTTAATTTTTATTACCGCATGTCAGAACCACCTGGGACTAGATCTGACAAATGTCCATCTGATAGGACACAGTTTAGGAGCGCACACAGTCGGTTTTGTTGGCAAACACCTCCAAGGGCAAGTAGGCCGCATCACAGGGCTTGACCCTGCCGGACCGGCGTACTACAATGCGCCCCCTGCGAATAGGCTTGATTATACGGATGCACAATTCGTAGACGTCATACACACGGGTGGAACAAGCAGGCTTTTTGGTAAGTACATATATTATACGTGTTCATTTCTTATTAAACCCTATGAGATATTGCGTGGCCCTTGATAAAAGAATCACCCTGTATGTATAGATATATACATACGTTTTGATTTCTTCTAAGTCTATATCATACTGTACATGTACAGTAAAGTGTAATTTTTTTTTGATAGTAATCGTTTTATTATCGTTGATAGGACTAGGTTTAAGAAAGGCTATTGGCCACATTGACTTTTATCCGAACGGCGGTCAAAAGCAACCGGGATGCTATAAAAAACAGGACAAGGGAGGTTTTATGGCACCAGCGACTGAACTCTTTTGTACCCACATAAGAGCCCTGCAAGTATTCTACGAATCTATTAACTCAAAATGCCCGTTCGTTGCAAACAAATGCGATTCATATGAGGATTTCCAACAGGTAAATCAAAATAACCTTTTAAATTGATAAACAAAAATTAATTGTTAAATTTTCTAATACTGTATGATTTTATTTGCAGGGTAAATGTTTTTCAACTAACGAAACAGATTTGAACATAATGGGTATGAATGCAACAAAACCTACTCATCCTCCTGGTACAAAGTACTTCTTAACCACGGGAATGGTCTCGCCGTATTGCAGTAAGTGACATAATAATATTTAAAGCTAATAGCAGTTTGAGATTTAGATAATAATAGTTGTAATAGTTAGTGCTGTACAATAATGTAACGGGAATATGCAAAATAACATTTATAGTTATTTTTTATTTTTGTTCTTTTCTAGGAAAGCAGTATAAGGTCAAATTGAATTTAGCTAAACCCTTAGGATATGCCCTAAACGACAACGATTTAATTAGCAATTCAGATGCGCTACAAAAGTAATTTTCGAATTATCAAAAGATTAGTAAAAAATCAGAAATTTAATGTTTTTGTTATTTGTGTAGTGTCGACGAGACAACGGATCCAGACAGTCTTGTGATCATCCAACCTTCCGATAAATGAGAAACGAAGGAGTTCTGCAGGGACGATATTATAACAAGATTTTGTAACAGTATAGCGACAAAAACTGAAGAATATGATACTAGATAGGATATAAAACATTTTTTTGCAATAGTAAAATTAGAAAAAATATTATAAATATAGTAGTGTGTAATAAAGTTATTGATGGACAGTTTGTCACCTGTATTTTTTTAAACATTCAAACCGTTCCCATTCTGTGATTATTTTTTTTATTTTGTTTTTTAAACATAAACTACAGAAGACACTAGGTTATACACTGTGATTTATGTGTTATTGTGGTAAATAATAAGTATATACGAATTAATTGTTTCATTTAGTGGGGCCTAATGCTTCGAATGAGTTGTTTGGGATTTATAGAATTTAATTTAAATGTAATACAATGTTTGTCAGTAAGAAATTCATATTATTTATCACAATAACACCTGCACTGAGAGTAATAACCTAATAATAACAATCTGGGCAAACAATTTTATATTGAAATGATTGTAGAATAGGAACAAATTTTTGCAACTTTTAAATTTTCACCTAAATTACAATAATATAAGGTTGCTTAATCTATATTTAATTACAATCATTATAGTAGTAGATATAATTATAATGAGTGCTAATCACGCCAATCGTATTTCGAAAAAGTTATTCCATGTTAAAACGACTTCAAGCTCAAAATAAACTTTGAGTTGCCAAAGGAGGTCGTTGCCGTTATAATAGCATGTTGCCATTCTAAATTTATACTTGGATCGTTTTAAAAGAGAAATGCGTAGTAGGTACCTGACCCATATAGTTCAAAAATAGCTGAACATAATAATTCGCTAAAAATTTAAAAAAATATCTTAAACTCGAGCGCCAGTAAGTCAAGTAGGAAAAAAACACGGCGTATAACCTGAGACTGTTTAACAACATATAAGTACAGCTTGTACACAACAACACAGGCATTTTAACGAAGCCAACAAAAATTGCTCGTTACAATTTGCAAAATTATAAAGTGTGACGACTTAAACTATAGTTGGCACTTGCTTGCTTTATGCACACGCTGTTAATTTGCATTAAAAAAATGACAAATGTGTTGTGAACTGTGGAGCTCACACGGTAGCAGCTATTCAGTGCTTTGGCAACTTCAAATAGAAAACATGAGTCTAGGTTTAATATAAAAATGTGTAAAAAAAAAAAAAAAAAACTACAAACAGTAAATACTAAATGCGGCTTACAGTCAACTTCGCATCGGCTATTTCCCGCCAATTTTTCCATCTACCACCAAACAAAAATGATACAAACGTCCAATTTGTAAAAATATATGTTTATCTCATAAAATAAGTAGGATCTATCTCATGAATGATACACACACACACACACTCATTTGTTTCGTTCACAATAGGTAGGTACAAAAATATGCATGATTGAGAAAAATATAATTTCAGGTATCTTTTTACTGCTGTTTGTCTTTGTTTTGGTAACGGCCTTTACAGGTACACGAATCCTATTAAAATGCCAATTACACCGTCGACCTTTTTGTGAACGCACTAGCATACAGGTGGTCCGGTAAAATGTGTGAAACAAAGCGTGAAATAGTTTCTTTTTTGTGTTGAAAAAAAAAGCATAATATGTACAATGATAATGGAACACCTGATTTTTTGGTATCGATAAATTCTATGTAAAAAAAAAAAAAAAATGCCAAATGTCTCCAGTTTTATTTCGCAGAATTCGCGGTGATTTCAATGACTTCTTTGAGCCAAACATGAATGACAATGCACCGTGCTCCTCTGAAGTCGCAGGGGTCGTGTGACCCTATATGGGGTGACACTGTGACAATACCTTGTTCGGTTCCTATATACAAGTTGGTTTACAGTACATTACATTTAACCGAATTTCAACAGAAATACTAGAGGGCACGCTTTTCCTTAATTTAATGTGTGTTCAATGTAAACATGTACTAAAAACTAAACTACTTTGAGAAAAATTGTAATTTATCCTATAGAAATGACTGTGATAGTTTGACAAAAAAAAATGGCAATCAATAAAGTATCCTCATTACTGTATTAAATATTAATAAGTATACACTACAGTTCAAACTGTAAATTAAGATTTTGTAAAATGTTGCCTATACTTTACTCCTTAGAAACGGCCTGGATAGCGTCCTCTTAGATTAACTATTACTAAACGGTTTCGGTAAAACATTGTGAAGGTAAAATGAAAAAAACTGTGTTGTAGATCATCTTGACATGAGTAATGAAAATAATCTCTAAATAATTACTATGATTATCGAGGAGAGCGCGGAAACAATTACATAATCGAGATGGTTGCATAGAGTTGTTTGCATGCCTTGTTACAGTAGGTACCTGTAATTAATTGAAAACAACATGAAATAAGTTTACCGTCACGCCAACGGTAATTACAATTTTGTTACATTAACGACGAGAAATTTCCGTTTTTTATTATTTTTATTATAATTTATAAATGTTCAAAGTTTCAATACGAGTTGAACGTTTAACGGCCGTTCTCACTAGTTTGATTTAGCCTACAATTATTGTAGTAAGTTATGTTGTCATAATCAGTCCAGTACATATTGAGCCCATTCGCCCAACACTTTTACATGCAAACTTAAACTGATAAACTGATAAGCATGTCTCTTCCCCACTTCTTTTCAATTTATTTACTTGGAAAAAAATTAATTTTAGGTTGAAAATTAAAAAAAAAAAAGGAAAGATTATCGAGTACATTCATTATCATCATGTAGCTTAACGAGTAGATTATATTATTGTATATTGAAAAATAATTTTCTATACATCAAGTAGTGACATCTATCGTATTATTTATTTACCAAAAACTAAAAAGAACATACTGATAGACAGCGTCAGTAGTCATGTTGATTATTCATCTATTTGTATCTTAAACGAGTATTCTAAATTATAGTAGGTATCTGACGATTTGTATCCATACATATTACTTGATTAAAAACATACTTACAACTTTTTAAGACAAATTATTAATTCTACGACATACTTGTTAAACGCAAGTTCTGAAGTAACTTTCTTGTATCTTATACTCGACAAAACACCAGCTTTTGTGTTTATCCATTATTATTATGGGGATAAATTAGAATGATATATTATATTATGAAAAAACACACCAAAGGTTAAATAAAAAAAAAAAAGGTATTCCTTGATTTAACACTTACTTTTATTAGTCTACTTTGTCTTTCTAATAATTTGAGAACAAAATTGACTTGTGTAGTAGACTGTAGGTAAATTGGTTAGACAACAGCTTGACAAATTTATTTGTTTTTGAAAAGTTTATGTGTATGTAATATTTAACAAATTATTTTCTCTTAAACTATTCATGAAATTGTATGAAAGATCTGTTTCATCTATTTTACGCACACTCTGGTTGTTTTTGTTTTTTGTTTTTTATCTATCATTTTATATTTATCGTTTAAAAATAATGTCATTACTAATAATGTATCTAACCTTACATTTACTCTTTACTCTTTAGTACTGTTTAATTATTGAGCCAAATATTTTTTTATTAATAAAAAAAAAACCATTTGATTTGTCCAATTTTTTTAAACATAAGTATGTTTAAAACGATGTTCATAGGAATGAAGAATATCTAATAATATTGTTCAATATACCTATTCAGAATTTCCAGTTATAATTTAAATGTTGCCGCCAAACTACTTATCTGAAGATAGCGGTACTATAAAAAGTGTTTCTAACTTCAGTTTAATAATTTCCCGCCATTTGATTGTTTAGCAAATGGCAATGTGTTGTGGTGAGATTTTAGGCTTTACCATTACCACTATAAGTATTTACCTCATCATAAGGCTAAAAACTTTAGTCTTGATTATTATTTATTATTGTTATTGTTTAAATATTAAGTTTGAAGTTAGGACATCCAACGTTGTAATAATTGTTTTTGAGTAACGTTTATATTTATTAAACAAAATGTCAGACGTAAGTAACCCACAACTATTAGTAACCTGTATTTTATTCATATTAATATTTATTATAAATGCTACTATTTTCTATGACTAACATAGAGAGAATCCAGCCCAGAACCGTTTGACGAGGCTGGGTTTGACGGCGCCGATACTTCTCCTGTTCGCAATTTCAACGATGAAGTATTGAGTGAAGGTGATGTATTGAGTTTAAGTCAATTTGATGACCCCGAAGAAGAAGACGGGGAAGAACTATTCGGAGATAACTTGGAACGGTAAAGTCAACTATAAAACTATTTTTTTTTTAAATTAAATATATTTTTTAATAATTAAATGTTAACAGTGATTACCGCCCAATACCAGCGCTTGATCGTTATGACGGTGAAGAGTTAGATGAAGACGATTATGACTCCATGAGCCCAGGGGCAAGAGCTGCGGCCGAAAGAGAATTACAAAGACGTGATAGAGAAGAAGGCACAGGTCGAAGAGATGCCGATGACATTCTGTATGGTTAGTATTTAGTATTAATGTTAATTTAGCGCGTATTAATTGAGATTTTGTTCTTAAGACGAGCATGATTTGGACGATGAGGGTTCTAAAAGAAAACGTCGAATGGCTGAGAGAGCTGCCACTGGTTTTATCGACGATGATGCTCCTGATGAAGAAGTATATTATCGATATAATCAAGTTTAATGAATATATAGTTTTTATACATTCTATTTAATAATTCTGTTTAGATGATCGAGTCTATTGAGAATTTACAAGACACAAAAGGGCACTCGGTTTCCGAGTGGGTAGCTATGCTTGGTCCGAAAACTGAAATTGCGAACCGCTTCAAAAACTTTTTGAGGAACGATGTTAACGCGAGTGGCGCTTATGTGTATAAAGAAAAAATCAGGCGCATGTGTGAGAGCAATTTGTGTAGTTTAGAAGTAGAGTTTACCAATTTGGCAAACAAGCAGCACACTTTAGCGTTGTTCTTGCCAGAAGCTCCTTCAGAAATGATAAACATTTTTAATGAAGTCGCTAAAGATTTGGTTATAACCATGTATCCTCAATACCAACGTGTCACATCCGAGATATTTGTGCGCATCACTGATTTACCGTTAATTGAAGAAATTCGGACTTTTAAGTATGTTTTTTTAGCACTTTAAAAGTGTCATCTATTTAATAATCGCCTAACAAACGTATAATTGATTTTAGAAAAATCCATTTGAACCAGCTAGTCCGGACTCGTGGTGTAGTAACATCGACTACTGGGGTGTTACCACAACTTAGTTTAATTAAGTACGATTGTTCAAAATGTGGGTATGTGATGGGTCCATTTACACAATCTCAAAGTCAAGAAGTGAAACCGGGTTCATGTCCAGAATGTCAAAGCACCGGACCATTCATGGTTAGTAAAGTTATCAAAATTAAAATTCAAGAGTAGCAGCATGTAGTTAAAAAAAAATTATTTGTGTTTAATTAGGTGAATATGGAGCAAACCGTGTACCGCAACTATCAAAAAATTACAATACAAGAGTCTCCCGGAAGCATACCGCCCGGTCGTATACCTCGTAGCAAAGACTGTATATTATTAGCGGATTTGTGCGATCAATGTAAACCCGGGGACGAAATTGATGTTACTGGAATTTATTCAAATAGTTATGAAGGGTCATTGAACACCGGCAATGGCTTTCCAGTATTTGCAACGGTTATCATGGCAAATCATTTGATTGTAAAAGATAACAAACATATAGTCGATTCGTTAACTGATGAAGACGTTTCGCAAATATTGAAGTTGGCTAAAGATCATAAAATCGGAGACCGAGTCGCCGCATCGATTGCTCCATCAATTTATGGACACGATTATATCAAGAAAAGTTTAGCATTGGCTTTGTTTGGCGGAGAACCAAAAAATCCAGGTTGGTTTAAAAAAAAAAGAAATTACCTTGATAATTATTGCACATATTAAAAAAGTATTTGGAATATTAAATGAATTAATGTTTTTTGTTTAATACTTAAAATGTTATTATTAGGTGATAAACATAAACTAAGAGGAGACATTAACGTACTGTTGTGTGGAGATCCTGGAACAGCCAAGTCTCAGTTTTTGAAGTATGTCGAAAAAGTAGCGCCTCGAGCTATTTTTACCACAGGCCAAGGAGCTTCAGCAGTAGGTCTAACGGCCTACGTCAAACGTGACACACAAAGCAAGGAATGGACATTAGAAGCTGGTGCACTCGTTTTAGCCGATCAAGGCATTTGTATTATTGACGAGTTTGATAAGGTAGAAATGTGATTCATTTCATAGAATATATGAATGGTTGGTTACAGAGTCTGAGCAACATTTTTGTAGGTTTACAACAGAAGAGTCAAAAAACCTTTTGTTTGTGGTTTTATTTTTTACAAAGATAATAACTTTTTTTGTAGTAGGAATTAAAATTGTTCAGTAAAAAATTGTTACAGATGTACATTTGACATAGCATATTTTTCCCTATCCAAAAGTATATGCGATATCTTAGGCCCCTTTGCCGTGTAACCATCGATATATTTCTCGATATCAATGCAGCTCAGTTTTCATTAAAAATTGTCATTTCAATTATAGATGAATGATCAAGATAGAACTTCTATTCATGAAGCTATGGAACAGCAAAGTATATCCATCTCAAAAGCCGGTATTGTCACTTCACTCCAAGCCAGGTGTTCTGTCATGGCGGCGGCTAACCCGATCGGTGGTCGTTATGATCCTGCCATGACGTTTTCAGAAAACGTTAGTCATGCAAACCAATGACAATGAAACTAGTAATATACTTACATATTTGATTATTAATATAAATAAACATATTTCAGGTTAATTTGTCTGAACCCATCATGTCGAGGTTTGATGTCCTTTGTGTTGTACGTGACGAAGTAGACCAAGCTAAAGATTGTCAGCTTGCCACATTTGTGGTCCAGTCCCACATGCGTAATCATCCACTCAACAAAGACAAACAGTGTGACATAAGGAACCCATTTTCTACCACCGATGTAGAACAAATACCTCAAGACCTGTTGAAAAAGTACATCGTTTACGCCAAGCAAAACATTCATCCTAAACTTCATCGAATGGATCAGGACAAAGTGGCCAAAATGTACAGCCAATTACGACAAGAATCGATGGTAAAATAAATAATTCTAATTGCGCGTTTGCGTGTGCAATATTAATTAAATTTATGTCATTAAAAATAATGTCTTGTGCTTTACAAAGATGACTGGAAGTTTGCCCATTACAGTTCGTCACATTGAGAGTATGATTCGAATGGCCGAGGCTAACGCTAAAATGCATTTAAGAGATTACGTCCAAGAAGACGATGTCAATATGGCCATACGTATTATGTTGGAGTCTTTCATTGAGACTCAAAAGTATAGCGTCATGAAAACTATGAGAAAAGTATGTCGTCATAGTTTGTCAAAAAATAATAATTACAATTATTTGGATATTTAAATATTTATTTTTCATATTTGTTTAGGCATTCCAAAAATATTTGTCGTTCAAAAAAGACATCACGGAACTTTTATACTTTATATTACATCAAATGGCTACTGATCAATTAGCATACATTAGAGGAATACACGGTGTTACAGTCAACACGATTGAAATACACGAAAAAGATTTCAAAGATAAAGTAAACATTCATTTTTCAATTTTGAAAGTTATAGTTTTAGATTATGCTAAACCCATAATTGTATGGTTTAATATAATGGGATGTTTTCTATTTATTTATTTTTGCTTATAGGTGAAGCAAATAGATGTGCACGATCTCAGACCGTTTTTCGAGAGCAAATTGTTCAAAAATAATAACTTTGTTTATGATGAAAAAAGACATATGATAATTCAAACATTACTTGTCAATGAATAATGTGCTTACATATCATTAAATTTTAACTTACAACTAAGAGGTTGAATGAAACACAGTTTTTACAACATACTGTATGTATTCAAATTTAAATGTTCATAAATTCTTTTTTTTTTTTATAAATATAAAAAGTATAAATGCTTTTTATTTTTTTTATGTTAAAAGTTGTAAAAATGTTTTATTTATATTCCAGTGTCAAATATTGTACGATTTATTTTTATACCTATCTTCAAACAACATGTACCTAAAGTACCTATGGTACTCAAATGTAACTATAGTTAAGAATGTATGTGAATTTTAAAATAAAGACTTACATTTTTTGCTATAAGCTTTTCTAATGGCCAATATTTATTAGATTTTTATTTAGAGTAGTAAATAAGATGCGTGATTATTGATAATACTATTGAATTCTCAATGAAAATTTCAAACTTATTTTCACTTAAATTTAAGTTGAAATACAAGAAAAAAATGCCAGTTAAAGCCATATCTGATTGCCCATATAAGCAAGGATAATTTTTACTAAAGCAGATTGAGAAGATTATCTAAATTGAATAACTATTTTAATTTGTAAAAAAAAGGCATTTATTAAATATTACCAAATAAAAATGTTTAATATTTCCTTTTTTTGATTAAACTTATTTTAAGTCTGTTATATTTTAAACAAAACAACACCGATGATAATTATCAAACTTAAATAATTGGGGGTTAAAAAATAGGCATAAAGAATTTTTTTAAACTGTTGTATAATGTTTTTCGTTTGATGTGTAATACAAAAATGTCCTAATTATATGATATATAAAGTTTTTACACTATATATCAAGAAAATTTTACAAACATTTCAAATCAAAATAATTATTATTTTGATTTGAAACTTCATAATTAAGTCTGGACCAAGGTATTTGCTTGATTGTTCAAAGCTTTCTTACGCATATTGCTTTGCAGTGACCATCAGTATTTCTTAGTGGTTTATTCCAAAATCTAAATCAGTTAAAAAAAAATGAATAGTTTAATACTATAGTGCGAAATCAAAAAAAGTAAAATGGTGGACTCTTAAAATCGATGTACGCATTTTAAAGGAAAAAAACACATCAATTGTAAATAAAGCACTAGTTTTTCATGCCTAGAATATGTGCTTAAATAAATTTCATTAGAATCTGTCGAGAGGTTTTTAAAATATGGTGGTGGAAACATAGTCGTGAGAAAAACGCTGTTTATAGTTTCACAAAATACATTCAGTTTTTTTAAATAAAATAAATACAATTTTTAAATTTTTAATTAAGTATTACTTTATAAAAAAATGAAAAATATACATATCATTTTTTTAAAATCTTAGTATCTCTAAGACATTAATATAACAAAATAATAAATTATATCCAGAAATATGCACCAAACAAAACGTAGGTAAAACTACTTATATGAAAAACAACAACCCACTTTACTTAAGTCTGATATATTAAAAAAAAAAAAAAAAACTGATGATAATTATTACTTATCTGTAAATGTAAAAAATAAATTATAACTGGCAGTTATTAATTAAAAAAAAAAAATTATAATGTTGATAACAAATAAGATTCAACTTATAGGTACTCCGTTCTCAATTTTTTAATACGCGAAAATAACTCTTCGTCGGACAAATCACATTCCTGAGCACACCGTTTACACTCGTTTAAAAACTTTTCCTTGGTCTGTTCACTAATTTCCTAAAATATATAACGAAAGCCATTAGTACAGTAAAGTATGAAAAAATGTTTCAATTATTATTAATTTTTCTCACTTTTTGTACATCATCATTATTTTGATTAGTTTCAAAACTTTCTAACAGAGCAAGTTTTTTTGAAGCATCCTATAAAAGAAATCACACTGTTACATATTGTTCGAAAATATTAATTTTAATTTGTTTTTAAAAATATAAACTATACTTGAATGACGCTGGTTGGAAATTTGGCCATAGCCGCAACATGAATACCAAAACTTTTATCACACGACCCGGGTTGTACTTGGTATAAAAGCGTAAGACTATCATCAGTAGTAACGGCAGAAACGTGTTTGTTTACAATCGTTGTTATGTTCTCGCTTAGTTTAGTTAGCTCATGAAAATGTGTGGCAAACAAAGTAAACGCTTTAGTTTCGGACGCTAAACGCCTAAAAATAATTTCAAAATGTATTTTTAGTTCATCGACTAATAATATTATGTTAAATGAAAACAGACTCTAGTCATTATTTTTACGTACTCTGCAATGGCACATGCTATTCCGCAACCTTCATAAGTAGATGTACCTCTGCCCAACTCGTCGATTATCACCAACGATTCCGCAGTCGCTTTCTGTATGTAATGATAATATATTATTATGTAAATTACAATAAGTAAAATATTTTAAAGCGCGAAACACACTTATCTACCTTAAGTATTGAAACGGTTTCGATCATTTCAACCATAAATGTCGATAGTCCTTTGATTTGAGAATCATTAGCTCCGACACGAGCCAAGATAGCATCAACCACACTTATTTCGGCCGCTTCGCAGGGAACAAAACTACCTAAATGTGCCATAAATACAGCTACGGCTACACTTCTGATGTATGTACTTTTACCGCCCATGTTTGGTCCAGTTATCACATTGAACGTACATTCTCCTAAAATAATTTAAGATTATTTTTGTTTGTTAATACGTCATAAAACATTTGAGGTGATGAGACCTTGTTTAAAGTATGCGTCATTTGGTATGTAAGAAATGGAATCTTGTAGTTCAACACAAGGATGCCTGATTTGTTTTAAATCCAATAAACCTGTGCCCTGGGGATGTAGAATCGGTCGGACATAAGGCCGTAAAGAGCTAGCCGCCAACATGGCAAAACTTGTGAGAACGTCGAGTTGTGCAAGAGTCCGACTGAGGTTCAATAGAGTCGCACTATAACTACCTGAGTAATAAATTATTAATTAATTTTTGAACTGACGCTATTTTGAGTCAATAGCAAACTCACTAGCTGTTTTAATCACTTCCTCGACAATAGTTTTTTGATGTTCCAAATATTTTTGATGAATACTCTGATAATCGGAGTTGATTTCCGTTAGTTTGGAAGACCTGAAACGCATTCCACCACCTTTTGTAGTATCAAGAACCTCGTATGATTTGTTGTTCGATACGGTTTTGGCATCCTTAAATAAAAAATATGTCTATAATAATAAAATGGCTCCGAAACTAATAAAATTATTTAATTGTGTACTTTTAATGGCACTTTGAAGAAAAATCCATATTGTGAGTTTGAATCCAGCTTCACTTGAATTTTCAACTGTCCAGAGGTTTTAGCCAAATTTGATTTCATTTTTGCCTCAAGATCATTCATTTGATTTCTCATTTCTTGTAGTTCCTCGTCAAAACCCGACTGTATTAGATAATCTCCACGTTGAACAAGGTTGAAGTCTATTGTTTCTTCAATCATAGACTGGTAGTTACTCATGTCCTTTACCAATTCTTTTAGAGGCATAGTGATGACACTCTGGAGAGTTTTGTAATCGGAGTTATTCAATGTTTCCACAAGTGCGGGTAGTTTTTCCACAGCTTGATATATTCTAATGACGTAATTAATTATAAAATGTTATTATATATCATATAATACATACATTAGTCATTACATACGAACTATAAATTTGTATTTTTCTTATTTATTCAAACTATATAGTACCTGTAGCAATCTTGTAGGCTGGCTCTTTTTCTCTGAATTTTACGCATTAAAGCTTGCAGGTCGGGTATAAGTCTTAAATGTTGATCGTATAACTGTTGACGAACATCAGTGTCATTGATTAGGGTTTCGACTATATTTAAACGTTCGTTTATTTTATTTAAATCCCTTAAAGGCTGCCTTATCCACTGAGTTAATAATCTGCAAAAAATATTTCATCAAATACTTCTATTATTAATAACACTTTTTTTTTGTTTCAAATTTAGATTTTAATTGTTTTGTTTAAGTTTTATAATAAAAAAACTGTGCAAACCTATGACCATGTGGAGTCCTGCATTTGTCAAAAATGCCAAGAATGGAATCGTTTTTGGACATGGTGCCCGCTGCAGGTAAAAGGTTGAGAGCTTCAACGCCTGCACTATCCAGATGAACAAATTTGTCGTAACTCAAATTTTCAACAGTAAACTGATTGAGGTTATCCGAATCTGACGACAACTAATCAATGATTTGAGTTATTAAGATTTGAAATGTTTTCGGCGAAATAACAAAAATGTATGATAAAAATACAAAATTATTTACTTCGAGATATTTAATGGCAGCGGCCAAAGCCGAGCTGGCGATTTCTAACTCGAGTTGTGGTAATGTGTGAGCGTTGGGTTGCTGACCCTCTTCAAACGAAATCAATTTATTTAGATCTTGAACCAACGAATCCGTCCCAAAATCGGTTTTCTTTCTTGTCGTCACCAAAACTCCGCAACGTTCCACTACTTTTTTCAACTGCTCCATATCGGGATTGGAGCCATCCAACATTAGAACGCATTCTTTAGGAGATACTTTTATCACCATACACTCTGTATGGGAAAAATACTCGTCATCGGTGAATTCACTTAGCTGAAATTTCCGTTCCACCGAATCCACCGCTCCTAATCCGATGATCTATTGAAGAAAAAAATGAATTTATCGTTAAATGAAAAATTACATTAATTCATACTGTGACCTTAATACCTTGTTGTTTTTGAAGTCTGAGCTTAATTTTAAAGCTATCACTGTATTGGCTTCTATCTGTTCCACGTTGCCAAACAACAAGTCTTCGAATTGCGATAAGTTACCAGGTGACCCCTAAAAAAAATATACGATTACATAAACTTAATACAAAGCCGCCTATAATCAGCAATGTACCAATACAGGAAAGTAGAAATTATTAGTAGGTAATATTTTAATTTCCTAGTGCTGTGACATAGGGCTGGGTAAAATTAATGTCTTACACACGGTAATTGTATATTTTAGTTAAATTTTGTTAATTATTGTGTTGTCAATTGTACACACTAAATTCTATGTAAGTTGTGACAGCAGTAGACCTGAGTAGATGACTTTTTTTTTTTATACATATCAATAAGTGTAAAACCTTGTAGTCTAGAGTCCACTTCCCTCCTCTGTTAATAAATATCTCCACTCTGTATTGATTAACCAACAATAACTGTTTAATGTAAGCTTCGAAGTTGGCTTTATTGAATATCAGTGATTCGAGAGTTTCGTTATCTAAAACAAGATAATTTTATAGTAGGTTATGTTAGAAAACTCATGTCTGAAGTCAACACACTAAAAAGTTTGTATAAGGCTAATTTTTTAGATATTACGTTTAAGAAAACATTTCAATTATAGCGGATAAGATTGGTGAGAGTGAACCAAGTAAATTCATTGACACTTGTCAACGATATTAAAATTTAAACTTTTTACCATCTAAACGACTTAATGTAGTCCTGGCCCACAAATTAAATAAAAGTCATAATATAGTTGTTGTACTAAAAAGTAAGTAGTGTGTAACAACATACTAAAATTTATTTTTTTTTTGGCGGTCTTGTACAATGTTATACAATGCGTCTTTTAATTGAACGTCCGAGTTGTATTACACATAATACTTTGTATAGGTACTTAGTTCAGACGCCATATATAACAAGCTTAAAATGCTTGTAATAAGCTTGAGGGGGGCTTTGTTCTCTTAATACCAGCCCTAACAGGATCCATTTGCGTTATTGTTTTCTCAAAGGCCACCCCTTACCTGACCCGATGATTTTTATTGAGTGGTTAGTCTTGTAAAAGTCTTTGGCGGCAAAAGTAGCATCTTGGCCGTGTACCGTGTAGTAATCTTGTCGATTGAAAAACCTCACGGTCGTTAAAGGCTTCTGAAAAAAAAACAAACATATATACTACATAGGCCACACTAGTGTTCAGTTTCAAGGTAATACCACACACGTGCGATATAAAGAGTGATTCATAAAGGACGAAACACAGCATTATTTTAAGAGAAAATTATTGTCTAATATTTAATGAATCACCCTGTATAATATACCAGTACATCATAAATGCGTACTCTGGGCGAATTCGAAAAATAATCGGTAAATTTATATTATTGTTCTTGAACAAAACCTTATTAGTATAGTAAGTAAACATTAACAAATTGAATCTAATTTATTGAGGTTGCGACATGATACAATAATAGGTCAAGATCAGTAAATTTATCATCTTTATTATAAACGCAATTCATAACTATGAAAACGTGATTATAATTTATGCACAACTCGAATAATAAGAGCACAAATTGATAACTTAACACGTTGAACTGTCGGCATGACCGCAAATAACTATTTTAATATTATATTACAATAATAACTAAAATAGTAATAATAATAATATTAAATTAAAATCTATTTTTGTTTTAACTTCATTAAATTATTATATACATTACTATCGAACTTAAAATCACTATTTTCCTTCTATTGTTTTCCAACAAATGCAGTAATACTATTGGTGTATTTTTAAACAATAACTCTTATTACACAATGTAAAAAGGGGCCTGAACAGTGCATTTTTTTTGCAAAAAAGCATGAACCACGGGAAAACGATTTTTTGTTTGAAAAAGGAAAACTTTATATGAGGTGCTTCGATCGCCATTTAACGATGTTGCTTACAAATGTTTGGTATTTTGTCAATCTAGAAAACCGAATAAAAACTAGAGAAATAAGTATTTAAAAAACACAACTTAGTAAAGTAGTCAAAGATGATCTCGAACCATATTTATTAGGCGTAATTTTGTCAGGCTTTTAGGTCTAAAATACCACTAAAATGGCGTTTACTTAATAGAAAAAATCGTGTAAGTTAAAAATAATATATTGAAGTTTTTACAAATAATCTGTTAGTAAATTGATATGATCGATATTTATTAAAACCAATTTTTTTAAAATTATTGCCTATAAAAAATTCTTCCGCTTTCAATCTCCTTATGAATGGTAAAAATATGTTGTAATATTATATTTGTTGCATTTTTAAAAGTGACGACAGGCAGTTAGCTCAGTTTTCTTTAATGCCCGACTAACACATAATCAATGCCGAAAATCAGTGTATTTTAGTATTATACACTTATTAATGGGTTCGAAAGAAGGAAGAAGTTGTTTTCAGGTCTGTGTCCTCATTTAGTTGCAAGTCTTGAGAGTTATATGTTTCAACATAATAAATCACCACATTCGACAGTGATAAATACTAGGTGAATACTCATACAGTAGAAATAATTAAAACGTTTATTTTTTAATTAACATTTGGTTCTTAATTATTATTAAATAATAATAATAATAATAACTGATTGAAATGCCGAGCAGACGTCTGGCGATATGCCATAAATTAATGAGATGATATACGACTAGAATAAAATAGAAATATAGCTTGTGGAAACCCGAAGGCTGTGAGTGTCAAGGTAAATCAGTTGCAAAAATTCACTTTACTTAGAATAGATCATGGGTGGGATATTCCCAGCTTATACATAAGTTTAAGGAAATACAAGATGAGTAATGTTATTTTCAAAAAAGGAAAAAAATATGTCCAAGTTTCTTTATTACAATTGTTAAAATATGTTGAATAATTAAAAACACATGCGAATTATCGATTATGTGCTCTAAAGAAGACCATATTACAGCTTAAAATTTTAAATACCTATATTAATTAAAATAGATAAAAAAAAAAATTAAGATTGTACACATTTTGTAGTAAGAAGTACGACTAGTATACTGAATTTATCATCATTTATAAAATATGATTTATAAAAACCAGTAAATAAATATATAGTTGTTTTAATTAGTTTAAATAGTATTTAAAAAAGTTAGTTATGATGCGGAATGGATTAATATGCTTAATCAAATACTAGAATATTTAAAATTACCTGTTTTTTAGAAATCCTCATTACTGCACTAATAAATACACAGTTTAGCTATATGTGAAGTTTCTACGAACAATTGCTTCCACCGAACCCACCCCCTATATAATAGGTGATTAGGGTGTGTTCACTTGACAGGTCAAGTAAAGTCACAATGTTTTAATACTTCAATACATTTTGATGAGACTAAGTATCATGGTGTAAACAACAAATACTATTTAAGGGAACTACTAATCTAGATTATAAGTGATATACCAATAATATGACTACCATCCTATTCAATCGGGTGGAAAATAATTAAAATTTTGTAGTTTTCTCTTTTGAAAAAGTGTTCAGTCACGTTATTGTACATTATTATAAAATTACCAAATATTTACCTTTTTTTAAAAATATTTTAAGACGATTATTACTTTTATCTGCGCCTAGATAAATCTTTTAATAATAAAAAAAAAAAAACTTAAATAACTTTAAAAGTCATTCAAAACTGGTTATCGACCAGTCAAAATAATCGGAAAATTATTTTTCAAATTTTAATATAATACATAAATTCCCATTCAAGTTTCATAAAAGTTGATAGCGCTCTGGAAAATACTAAAAAAGGCAAATACTTGATAGTTTTATAAAATTTTACAATAGTAAATATTCGAAAAACCACTATAAAATCATACTTAGATATTTACTATGGAAATGACTGTCTTTACGTTAAAAATGAATCACTTTGTAAAGGTTTAATAGAAATGGTGTAATAAACTAGGCCATTATTGTAATAATGTAAACCGATATTATTTAAATGTACCTGTACGATACGAAAACATAATTATTTTAATTTATCTCATCACATTATAAACCTTTGATAACATATTATATTATACTGGCCAGAGCGGTACTCAAAAGTACTAGGTGAAGTAAAGGCACATTTGATTTTAAAATAAAACATTTAAACATAGCTTTGAACTTATTAAATATTTATAAAAATTAAAAAATCACAGCTCCTAAAGTAATGTACCAAATTCAGTGATATTTCTCCTATCTTGGGATTTTGTTTTTTTTTTAAATCCTGATTACTAATAAGTGTAATTAATATACTAATTAGGTACATTATAAATGCAACAATAAAAGGCTTATTGTTAACAATTATTTGTGCGGTAAAAGGATTAAGCCCGAATAATAATAATTAAGGTGTTATGTTAACGTCTTGTATTTTACATAAAAAGTAAAACCGTTAATAACATAGTTCATAAATAACACCGTAAGCAAAATTATTGATACGAGAAGTTTTTCAGTAAGTATACAACTACGCACGAGGTTACGTTCTCGAATCGCATAAGTGTAAGGTTATCGAACGACCAAGTTCATAGTATAAGGTCATATTATTACATTAGTATTGGGCGTTAGTCCATTTCTGTGAAAATTAATAAATTGCATCTCGTTGGGTTTTTTTTACAAATGTATACCATTATAATCGCGTTTGTGTATTTTATTATATAAACGTATATCAATCGTTCACAGTGAACCATTTGGCTGTTCAACTTCACCGCGGACAAGTTTCTACCAACAAAATTAAAGGCAATTTTCAAAAGTCTTGTTTTGAGTGAATAGAATAACAGTTGTACACCAAACTGTGTACATCATCAGTTGTAATCAGTACATAATCGTTTTAATAAAATGCAAATAACTCGTAAGGTAGGTTTGTTTTCGTACATATATCATATATATATATATTTTTTGTTAAATCATACCAATAATTATTATTTACTTTTATTATTTTTTTTTTTTAGATTTGCAAATTTTATTTACTAGCGGCGTGTTTTGCACTGTCGACGAGTGCAAGTCCAATACTGGTTAATGGGTGTGAAAAGTGCAGTTATTCAGTGCCGCCTACTAGTGATTTGCCTGGCGTGACGACGACGTTCACCGACGAACACGGACACGTTGTTACTCAGGTAAAAAAAGAAGCTTTTAATAACGACAACGGTCAAAATTCGCATATAGTCGAAATCGAAGAAAACAAACAATTGCCAAACGGTTATTCGAAAAGTTTCAAGAAGGAGTATTCGTCGTCCAGCGTGTCAGGAGGAGTTCAACCGGCGTTCATACAAAAACCGTTGGCAATTGACGGGTCGTTCAAAACCAAAAACCTATCGTTTGGAGGAGGTAGCGCCTTCGAACAAAACAATCACCAGTCTCTATTGTCTGGCAATTCAGGGTACATAGGGATTGCATCGGGTTCGCAATCTTCGGCTAATCAAGACTTGAGCAATATACCCGGAGTCACGACGACGTTCAGAGATCAACAAGGCAACATCGTCACGCAAGTAAAGAAAGAAGTATTCAACAACCAAAACGGTCAAAATGCCCATGTGTTGGAATACGAAGAAAACAAACAACTGCCAAACGGTTACTCGAAAAGTTTCAAAAAAGAATACTCGTCTTCCAGTGTAACGGGAGTTCAACCTAAATTCGTTCAAAAACCATTGGGAATCGACAGTTTGTCAATGGGCGGCTTCGAACACAACAATCACCAGTCTCTGCTGTCTGGTAATTCAGGGTATTTAGGCATTACACCGGGTTTAAGTTTAATAGGATCTCAGCCAACCGTTTTACCACAGCCAATAGCGTCCAACAACCATGTTTTATTCCAAAAACCTGACGAGTCGAAACAATTAAACGGTTACAGTACTTTTTTTAACACCAAACAAACTTCTTCCAACATAAATGTGTTGCCTTCTGTTTATCCTACAAGTCAAACGCAAGGACTCAATACGAATGAACCGGATTGCAGCGAAACGAGCCAGGTTAATGTAGACACAAATTTTAACGGACAAAAACAGTTGAGCTTCACCGAACGAGGTAATAATAATTATCAAACATCTCAACCTCTTCAACCAAATATTGTTTCACATTCGCAGTCTTACCATTCTGAAAAGGTAATCAAACCAGTAATTGGTCAACAGACTGTCGTCCCTGTTGGACAACAGAGTTTGAACATAGATTCGCTTTCGACTTCTAACACTGCAAGTAGCAATAAATTTGAAAAATACGAATCTTTTAACACACAGGAACAGCAGTTTGGTCAACAGTCAGTAAATATTGACGATATATCACCGACCTCGTCGCAATTAAATCAACAAAAAGAACCATTCGGTCAATTTTACAAACCAAACACGCAGGTTGGCCAACAAATTCAAAACCAAGAATCGTTTTATACTCAAAACCACAACGCGGCTGGTCAGCAAGTAGTCGATATTAACAAACATTTTAACACAAATCAACAAGTCAACATTGGTCAACAAACTGTCTCCGGCGATTTTTCCCAATCAAAATTACCGGTTGGTCAACAATCAGTTGATATATCCCAATTTGGCTCGCAGAATCAGGAAGTGCAGTCATCGTTCACAAACTCTAATAGGGATGCTAAATTAACAACTGATCAACAGTCTCAAGGATCAGGCGGAATCTTTACATCCAAATACGGAGGTACACACATTCTTGATCTAGGAACACTTGGTCAGACATCGACAGGAAGCATTAATCACCAAAATCTCAAACCAGCGGGCCAAGAAAATGTGTTGAATTCAAATTATGGTCAACATTATACAAACGGGAAATTGTTCACTTCTCCGGTTAACACGCATGGTCAACAGTCAGTAGTCTTTGAAAGTCAGCGTGTGGTTGAAAAGAACATTGATCTAAATCGACCAGACTATGGGCAACAATTCGCACAAAACGTAGGATACCAATCATCAGGTTATTCATCGAATGGAGACAAATTAGTATCAGTAAATGATCAAACGTCTAATGTTCAATATAATAAGGCGTTCAACAAATTAGATCAATTGGAGCATGAAGTTTTAGGTGCGCAAAATTCAATGAACTTACAAAAAGATAATGTTCAAACAACCTATTCGAGTAATTACAATTTAAAAAGCATGCCAATACAAACAGGCCATCAAGAGTCCTATTTCCAAAAAAAAGTTGATGAACACGAACAATATGTAGAGCCACTGTCTGAATACAACCCTGCTTCTACTCAAGGTCAATATTTTGCATCTAGCTCTTATGTACAAAAAAATACTGGAAAAGCGAGTAACAGTTATGACGTAGAACCAACTATGTTAGTTCAACAGAAGGAAAAAATTGAAAAACATTTTGAAGTTTTGCCTGAAAATAATACCAACCCCCAACCACTTTGGAAGAGAATTGGAGAAAAAGTATCTAATTCTTTTCAAGCAGCAAGAGGTAAAGCCCATCAAATAGCTGCTACTATTGAAGAAAAGGTAGGATTTTCACAAAACACTGAAAAACCATGTTGATATTGTTCTTAAAAACTATATAAATTGTATTAATTTATAATTGAAATAGTTAAATAACTTTATTTATTTAAAAGGTACTTATTTCATTATTTAAAATACTAATATCAGCTAATGATATGAAATATATTTATTTTATAACCATAATTTAATTTATTATTACTGGATTGTAAATATTATCAACTATTTATTTCTATATAATATTGTAATATTTATTTAAACTTGTAAACTATACAACTTACCTAATAACTTAATTTGTAAAAAAAAAATGATGTTTAAGAATAATTTATTTTTGTTGTGTGAGAATGTACATTTAATTTTTAATTTAACTTATATAATAAACAAGACATCATTTGTTATTTATATTTTGTCTGATCCTTACATGAATACACAAATCAAAGAGTAAGAGAGTAATTTAATAGTAATAAATACTAAGACATACTAATGGTCTAGTGCCTCGAAGTGTAATAATAATAAAAAATTATGGTAATTATAACATAATTAAATTGCATCGAAAAGTGTACTAACTCCAAAACTATTGGGTTGTTTAAATAGAATATACATCGCTTAGAATAACTAACTACATATATCAATTTATTTATTTAAAAAAATAGAAAAGCAACAAAAAAATTGACCACTGATTGAAGAGATAAACTTGGCAGTTTAGTGATTGTAAAAATAATAATTATAGTAAATTAATAGCTTTCGCAGTGGTTAAAAGCTAATCTTTTTTTAAATACCAAATTATTTTTATACTTGTATATTGGTAAAAATAACTGTTTAATCCTAATTTTTTTAGTCATAAGAACCATAAGAACAATAAATAACATCTGATGGGCATTTTCTTGTTAAAATTTCATTAAAAATATTTCCTAAACATTATTAATCACAACTCTTTAAAATTTAGATTTCACACTTTTAAGAAGTTTTATGTTAATATTTCATGTTAAAAAAAAAAATGTAAATAATTACATTTAAGATTAAATATTAAATAATATGGTTTTTATTAATAAATAACATTTAAATTTGTCTCCCTTGACCATACCCTATCAGACTACTGTATAAACAAATTTTAACTAAATGTATCTTTGATGCAAAAGCAGAGAAGGTATTTCGATTTTTAATTTTAAGAAAAAAATCAGTCTTCTCAACAATCATATAACGTATAGCAAATCTAATAATAACAAAAAAAAATCTGGATTTACAATAATATTATATAATATTGATGTTTACCCATGTAGTTGGGAGTGTAAGGCAATGATAACATACAAGGAATCTGGTTATATATTTTTTAACTATATTAAATTTGTCCCAACTAATAATTATAACAGTATGAAAACAAAATAATTAAAAAAAGTCTAATTTCTTCTAAGTTATTGATTGGGCCATAGTTAACCTATCACCCGGTACATAATATACACTGATTATTTTAATGGTTTCATATTTTAAATTAACTAACATTTTTATTACAGGTAGTACACGATGATCGATTATCCGTGAAAAAATCATATAACTAAACCTAAAGTAGTATTAATAAGGAATTTTTAATGTTTATACCAATCTTATTGAATGTTATACGCTAACATTTTAGAGATTTACTTTTTAGAAACCAAAGTTTTATTCTTGCATGATGCTAAAAATAGTGATCAGCAATTAATTCATATTAGTATTTCTTATTTGGAAAATTTAAGTTATAACCTTAGATATAAGAACGCTCGAGTGTATTTTATACAAATTACATGTAGGATGTTTTCGGTACTACAATAATATCCAAAACACTAAAAAAATATAAAATAGCTGACCTCCTTGTACTACAAATTAGGCAACTACTGCTACAACAGAGATAAACTTTTATAAAAAAATAAACAGCGGTCACACGCATTCAGGCTCAAGATTTCGTCGAGGTCACCACTTTAGTGTTTTAGGTATTATTATAATACATCTAAAAACATCAATAGTTTAAACCCAAACAAAATAGGTTGTATTAACCCAATAATAACACTATACAATTTACACTGCGTATACTGTTCTTCTGCAGCGCGGTCACGCTTCTCTTTAAATTCATCAGTGTATCTAGAATTGTCTAGCCATGCCCCTGTCACATTAATAGACTGTTCGCAAACTTTCGTAAGTATGTGCATTGCATATTGCCTATCTGTTACAAAAGTTCCAGAATACTGAATATTCTATGGTTACTTCAGGTGGACTAACAATTTTTTTTTCTTATGTTCTTTAGAATATAAAAAATGTTCCTAACTTTTACATATAATATTTAAAAGAATTTTTAGATTGGTAGCAGCACTTTTATAAAAAAATATTAATTCTTTCAAGTCTTAATTTTTTTCAGGGTTAAAATAATATTGAGAAAAAGTGATTCCTATGGAAATTTTCAGTATATAAAGAAAAACAAATTATTATCTAGAGGTTAATTTGAAAAAATTAAAACTGACATACATACAGGCCTCAAAATATGAAAGTTCTGATAATATTGATAATACAATCATATTACCCCTATCAGTATTAAAAATATTAAAATATAAATATTTATTAAATTAAAATATTGAAAGACGGATTACATTAAATTTACTTACTTCTGGTAATGATTTATAATACCGCACGAATGTCTTCTGTTGTTCGGGGTCTGAAAATTATAATAATTTTACTTATTACTATTAACAATATTAAGGTTATAGCATTGCAAATTTCACAATTTTACAGCAATGTTAGTTTTTTAAGTATAATTGGCTAATTCTATAATCAGCCTTTCTTTTAATATGTGTACATATGTAAATGTTAGTAGTTCCAAAAGTCTTAATTTATACTCAGTATTAATTACATTAGTGTAGTTGATCAGTTATTTGAATTTTTTTGTGCAAGCAAAAGCAGGTAATGTGATTGCGTTGTCGTTTGAACTCTACATATTCGAAACATAAACTAACGTTTTTTCAAGCATGCTTGTATCGTGTGGTGGTGAAGCAATATTGTGCATGTGTGACAAGCGTTGTTATATGTGTAGTACAAAAGCCAAACAGTGGAGTTATTCAAGTGTCCTAACCTAACTGTAACCTCCCTAAGGCAACAATAAAATATACAAAATATAATCATTCTACTAATTAAATTCGCCAAATTGATGTTAATGTAAATTATAGCAAGGTAAAATTTAAAGTACAGTTTAGAACTTATATGAAATAATAATGAACAGAAATTTAAATAAAGTCACGTAATTAACAAAACGAATTTTGTATTTTGTAATTAATGATTACATTTAAGTATTTTCTAGATGCATAGCAAAAATTAGTTTTTATAACATATATATACTCACCTAAATTCAAATGGTTGATTGGTTTGATAGCCATTAGAACTTATAGGAAGATGTCAAACAATTACAATTTAGTACAAAGATTTCGGTTTTTTTGCAAACTAGAAGTTTCAGATGATATTCTATTGTGAATGCAATAACAACAAAAGTGAGGTGTCTGCAGCTAACTTGTCAAGAACGATATTAAATAATCGGTAAATATCATCAGACATCATGTTATTTTATCAAACATTTTTTTTTATTTAATATATTATTACCGCCAAAAAAATATTAATCTTCATTTATCAACGTTATCAGGATAAAGTGCGCACATTGACATTTTATTAAGTCTTTGAAGTCTTTGAAGGCTTATTTTAGTTTAGAACCACGGTATAAGATAACACAAAATTACCTAAGGTAAATTCAATCAGTTGCTAGTGAGGCGAAGCCATTATATTTGATGTTTATGTTGATAAAATATCTCATAGACATAGTTGTTTTTATCAACGGAACGACGTTAACGAAATAAATGTGAACGCGGTTTTACCTATTTACTTTTTCTATTATAAAAAACACAAACGTAACAATAATTTATTTGTCGATTTTAATCATTGCGCGTTGCGGTCTTCCTTCCGAGCTGTGCACGATAGATGACAATACGACTTAGTACTTACAAAGGAAAATAATTATAATCAACTAAAGTGTGGAAACGATATCCAAGACAATAAGTAATTGTCACAACTTGCGATATTTTGGTGCGTCAGTTTCGTGTAAAAAGTACGTTCTTACATTTTGTGTAGTAAGTGTAAATTTTATATTCTTACTATAATAAACTATTAACTGGATCCTCTTGCTTAACTAAAAAATATAAGATACATTTATCACTTTTTGTTATTTAATAACAATTCCAAATTCAGACAAAAATAATAACAAACAACGCCAGTTTTATAATTTTATCTCAAAACAAAAATTATGTCTACATTGTTGAATGTTAAATTGCGAATGGGTACAGATATTACTATCAATAATGCAAAGGTGTATGTAGAAGTAGAAGATCCTGTATCTATTCTGAAACAAAAAATATGCACGCTCGATAAAGACTTGAATGTTGACGACATTGAACTCGTTTACATGGGCGTTGTAATGGAAGACCACGAAGCACTTGGTATTTATGGTGTATTGCATGGTATTACTGTGCATGCATTCAAAAAAGTTAAATATGACACACATATTGCTCCCAAAGAGCTTACTGAAGTCGAATTGCTTAAATTAGGAGTTGCATTTCGGTCACTTTCATTAAACTATAATTATAAAAATGCTTTATCGAAGTTAAGTAGACCTGAAATAATATTAAATATCATCATGACCACTCCAGCCTTGAGTCATGATCCTGTAGCAATTACGTTACTACAGCACTCAGAACTATTGGTGAGACTCGGTGATCTAGAAATTATAAAACGAATTGCTGAAAATCATCCTGCTTTGGTTGAGGCCACACATCATATAGCTGCTGCTGTGCACGAAGAAACTTTACAAATGCAGGTAAATTATTTAAAAACATTGTGTCTGTTTTCAATGTACTTAAAAGTATATTAATTCAGATATTTTTGTGTTGATAGAACAATCGTGGTGATAGACACTATCTACCACCATCACTCCTATCCAACTTGACGGACATTAGTGATGATGAAATTGAAGATATGGAAGATTCTTCACCAGAGTCAAGTAGTCAGTCCGTATCTAGAAGTGAATCGTTTGCCATAACAGCTGCTCAATTGGCAGCAGCAATAGCAAGAGCCACGCCTCAAGATTTTCAACTGCCACAAAATTTACCCGGCACAAGTAGTAGCACATCAACTGCCAACACATCGACTGCCAGCACATCAACTGGAATAACAAGAGATATGTTGCGTTCAGTTATTGGTGATTTACAAAATCAACCAGCATCTAACAGTCCTAATTTACAAACTCAAGTACAAAAAATGAGAGACATGGGCCTTTCTAATGATGCAATTAACATTGAAGCATTACGTGTTAGTAATGGAGATTTGGCAGCTGCTATAGAATTAGTATTAAGCGGCTTTATGAATGAAGATTAAACTTTCTTATTTAGTAATAAAAATTTATCTAAAAATATTTAAATAGTTTATGTAAATGTAATTACCTATAAAATACAAATTATATATATATATATATATATATATCTTATATTTTAAATAACTATTTATGTTTAATTTAAATTTTTATGTACTATATTATAGTATATAAATAAAATTAATAATTAAAAAATATATTTTAGTCATTCAGATTCTAAATATTAAATTGTGTGAAGATAAAATTGTATTAACAAAACAAGGAAAATATTTTGCTACGCACTAAATAAAGAAGCCAAGCATAGCCTATACTTTTTGATAAATATCAATTCTAATTAATTAAAGGTTTCCAGTTAAAATTTATGAAATTGGCGTTGTTTTTTGTTGATTTAATATAATATTGTGATATGTGTTACTTTTTAAATGTAGGTAAATTATACATATTACTTTGTGTAGCTGAATTTTAAATTATTCAACTTAAAAACATTTTAATATAATATATTGTTTCTGAAATTATACGCTTAACAAAATTGTTCCATAAAGTAGAAGTATATATTTTATATTAACTTATTTTAATAGTATGATATTCTAATAGCTATAAAATGAATATAAATTTATTATGTTTTTATATTTATATGTATATTATAACTATATACATACATATAGTATATAACTTAAAAAACAATTTAATTAACTTTTTTTTTGGCAAGCTCAATTTCATTTAACCTATTAGAATATACTATTATTAACTTTAATAAACATTAATTATTCTAGTTATAACAAAAAGTGTTAATTTTGGCTTGGTAAAATGTTTAATCCTTGTTTTAAACATATTATAATAGATAATTGAGTAAATACCAATTATTGTTAAAAATGTGTAATAAAATTGTATTAGCTTAATAGTTGTAGTATGTTTTGGTAGTTATTAAATCGATTCTAATTTATTTAATACATTTTTTATGTTATGTACATGAAAATATAAAACTTTTTTGATTCATCCAAGACCAAAAAAAAAAGCGTAACACTACATTAAAATTATATGTAATTTTAATTAATTTTAACCAATTTTTTTCCGCAAGTTATTACTTCAGACTGAACAAATTTAATGCACTCTAAATCCTATATACTTGATATTAAAAAAAATGTATTTTAAATTAGTGTTTACGCTCTTTATCCTTAAAATGATCGATTTGTTACCTACTTCTCATTTGTAAAGGGTAGACTGTTATCTCTGAATGGTTGAATGTCTATTAAATCTTTTATTTTAGTTAAGTGGTATTATAAATCTTCAGTTTAAAATTGTATGCACAAATTCTATACAGATTTCTACAATATTTCTAAAATATAATAGCAGTACTACATTTAGGATTATGATTGGCTTGATATTTTTTTGCAATTAATTCTGCTGTAATTCTTTTTTCTAATATCAAAAGATTATATTATTTGTTATAATATAGTTATTATTTAATACCTATTAGTGCTGAGCATCAACTCTGTGTTCTTGGTTGTTCATTTTGATGCAAACATTAAACAAAACTATAGTTAGTACTATATAAAAAAAAAAAAACATTTATGTACTTAGAAGAATAAATATATAATTAATTTAGGTATCAATATTTTAATTAAATTTAAATAATTACCAAGTAAAATTATTTATGTACAATTTTATCTAGAAGTGTCCCAAAATTCATAGCCAATACACTTATTATATAATTATCTCAAGCTCTATCGACACTTCAGAAACGTCGTCGTAAAAAGCATTTTCTGTCGGCAATTTTTTTTGCGTAGACAGAGATTTAACGTATTCTACGGGAAACAAGCAGCAATGCCAGTGACAATTTGGGTCTTGTAGGACAGAGCTTTACAATCGTTTACTCAACGTTCTCCAAACTTTTTTAAGAAAATCTAGGATAAATTTAAAATTCAGCGAATAAAACAGTTGTATTTTCTTATTCCAGAATCTTGTTGTTCCATGTATTTAATCAGTAAACCGTATTTTAAGATGTAAGGATTATTCAAGATTATATCTTTATTTTATACAGTAATATAATTGTTGTAACTCTAAATATACTCACCTATAATATACATACAAATAATACAATTATTTAATATGATAATTATATAGCACTCTGCACTCAAATATGAAATATTTATACTTAATAATCCCTAAAATTTCAACAGTACGTTATTGATCTAGATAATTTTATTTTTCACTTAGGAATGTAGGCATAAATAGATTTTTCAATTAGACATACCTATTGGGATACAAATTTGACTAAAAAAGTAATGCTGAATGGAGTTGTTTAATTTTTTAAACATTCACCGAACAAGTAATAGGTATGAATATATTAGGTATAAAATTACATTTCAACATAAACCTATACCGGATAAGCTGGGAAAATATTCATATATTTTTCAGGCCTACAATACGTTTTTAATTATGTAATCTACACAAAGCTGATATTCCTGGTTTACATATTATGACCTATCTTTTAAAGCTAAAATAAGTAATAATTAGTATATTCTTAAAAATATAAAGAATTTATGATGTCTCTTAAATGTAAATACTTAAAACACAATAATAACATTTTTAAATGTCGTTCTACAAACAAAATTGTGTTTCAAAATTATACTAGTAATTAATTATTGTGTGTTGTCTATCAATATGGGGTGATTAATTAAATGTAAATTACTAATTTTCTCAGGAACTTTTTCTTTTTGCTATTTTCCATTATTAGACTTTCTCTAAAGTTCAATTTTTTTTTCTATTTTTAAAAACTGAATCTATTTTAGAAAACTAATTTTTTCAATTTAATTTTACTGCTAGCAAACATTAAAATATAAAAAAGTACCGATTGTGTTTAAATTTGAATATTCTTTTAAACTCATCAATTGACCAGTACGTATTAAAGGTCTGTCGGTTGTTTAAAAAATGTCTAACAATTAAGTTTTGATGTTTAAATGATTCGAAACAATATTTTCTATTTTTAACATTATCGTATCTACTATATAAGTATATTATACTACTGTTTGCACTTTGAATATTGGATTTAAGTACTTATTAAGAAAATCAAATAGCACTTATTTTATCTATAAATAAAATTGTAGCTATCATAACTATTTGTTAAGTAGTTTTGTTGTTATTTATATTTTATGACGTTTACACGCGTGTCTACTTATTATTTTTAGGAATTATATCTGAAGTAATTTGATCTCAAGAAATAACCAAATACAATGCCAATGCCAATTATAAATAAAAAGAAATTGTAAGTGAACGTTTTGGGATTTATCCCAAATTATAACAATTATATATTATGTTTATATACTATAATATTTAGATATATTATAATATTTTATTTTAGGAGCTATATACCACCTCAAGGTGTTCGGTGTCAAAAGTGCCTTGAGCATGGTCACTGGACATATGAGTGCAAAGGAAAAAGGAAATTCGCTGATCGCCCTTCACGGACGACGTTACTCAAAAGAAACCTAAATAAAGATAGACCAGCTAAAGCAGTTTTAGACAAGTATGAGACTCCTTTGATCTTTATTTTCTAAATATTGGATATTTTCGATAAAATCTACCCCCCCCCCCTTACAATTGAGTGGTCTCGGGTATAAAAATAAAAAAACGTTAAAATAAGGAACAGCCTAATACTACCATGCCAAATTACTGTTTTCAGTATTATTTTCACTGTAAAGTTACCTTAACGTCCTTACTCTACAGAAAACGTTAATTGTTCTAAATTTATTTATGGTTATTAAAAGGATGTCGAAAGGGTTGGGGCTGTTTGTACTCATAATACAGAGAAAGTTAAAAGGATTATTTCCGTTAGAAGAGAGGACAATGAATAAGAATTTGGTGTATATAATATATTACCGCTCAAGAAACAATTTTCCAAAATCGTTAATATTACAGTAAATTTTCCTTGGTTTTTAGTGTTCCTAAGAAACAAACCGGGAGAGCCAAACGCAAGAAGAAGACAAATTCTAGCGATTCGTCTTCGTCGTCTTCGGATTCGGACAGCTCTGAAAGTAGCAGCAGCAGCAGTACTAGCAGTAGCAGCAATAGTAGTACTAGCAGTAGCAGCAGTAGTAGTAGCAGCAGCAGTGATCATTCGAAATGAATATCTAAAAAAAATAAAACCCGTTTCTTATTTAAATAACATCCTAGGTACTTGTTAAGAACAACATTTTTTTTTATATAAATATACCTCTTAAACGCATAATAGTTCATAAAGACACCGACGAGCTACTGGAACTACTAGACGTACTACTAGACAAGTCAGATTCCTCGTCGTCAGTTTCATCGTTAATATTTTCACACAATCGATTATTAATGACTATCGTCGGACTTGTCCTGGCAAAAAGATAAAAAAAAGAACGCGTTTTAATTATTACTTATGTTCGTTTATTTACAATTATTACTATTATTTTTTACGAGAATTTTTTTTTTTTCTAATATTACAAAATAGTGAAAATAAAAATAAAATTGTGTGCAAACTTTTTTTTAAGCTTCATCTTGTTGTGTACACATTCCTCTTCGTTGGGACACGTGCAAGCGTCGGTGTTGGAAACAACGTGACTGTTTAACTTGCACCGGATGCATAACTGGGGCGCCAAACACTGCAGCTCGTCCATGACATACACTACTACTCAGGATTAGTTTGAGTTCTATACGCTTTAGTAGACTTCTTAAAAAAAAAAATTTTAAAAAAAACATAGGCGCCGTTGTCGCGTTGGTCGTACGACGGATTTAGACTAAAGTCTCTGAACCAAGTAGCCCTTCCCCACTTCATTGATTTTCTTTTTGGGCATAAGTTCAAGAAAATAACCTTATCCATCACAACACATAAGTCCATGATACAAGCGTACGCTAAAATCGTCTGTCGTCTTCGCACGCGTTCATTTCAAGTCTCACCTACATAATTATACTATGTATGTTACTACTTAAACCCCAGCGTACTACAATATTGTAGCCAACTAGTGGAACTTCCATTTGCTCAAAGGTCAAACAAACGAAATTTAATATGCGTTTACATTTACTTACGTTGATTTTCTCTACTACTTAAAACAGAAATAGTACTTCCAAAATGTATTCTTAGTCATAATAAACGGTAAACTTTTTAATTTCAGAACCTCATAGAGAACCTAACTCTGGTGAATACATTACAAATATGTGTGTATTGAGTCTAGAATATTGCTAAATATTAGAATTATTCGATTTTATTGAGGTCTTGAAATCTATGTTCAAATTGCACCAGAAAAACAATCGGTTGTCATTAGGTTGAAGAGAATTCTGGATTATGTCTTGGAAAGGCAAATTATTAAACATGTTTTTTTATTAGTTTTTAAAAAAGTGACTTTTCTGGTTTTCCCCTCTATTATTTAAATAATGTTTTATTTAAGGCGTATAGAGCCAAAACGGATTAATCCACAAAAAAAATTGTTTTATTGCAATAAATAATTTAGACTAATATATTTTTTCCGAACTAATATGGTCAAACACAAAAAAAAAATAATCGTCTAGATGACAGAACTTTGTGTAAAGCTGGCATTTAAATAATTACATTCAAAAAACTTTAATGGATTTCGTAAGTCGTTTGGCTCTAAGCGCCGCATTTATGTTCTAGTGAAACAATTATTGTAAACTATAAGGACATAAAATTAAAAATTGTTATCAAGAAAACAAGATAATCAACAATTGGTTGCTTTATTTAGGGTTAAATTTTAATGCATTGACATCGTAGGATTAAAATTTTATAGTTAATATTAAAAAAATGATTGATTTTTTTAGTTAAAAAATCGGAGTTTTATTTATTATTTAATTAAACTAAGGTAGATTTTTATCGTGTTAACTATGTAGTAGTATACATAAAATTGTAATTATTGCAAATCAACAAAAAAAGTTTAAAATATAATTGTTAAGTCTAAGTGGTCCAATTATAATCATAAATTATCTCTAATATATCAATATTAGATCATTTAATTGATCAAAGATAAGATAATAATTTAACCGTAAAGTAGTATTACTTAAAAGTTTAATGGTCTGTGATTTCATAGAAGTGATATTGCACTAATAAGAATATAATGTAATATTAAAACAGTATGAAGTAGGTATTAATAAATTGGCGAAGCAAAAAGTTCAAATATATTTCAATACAGTCTAGGTATTATGTACTTGACCTAATTATAAGATAAGCTACTTTATAAGGAACAACTCGGGTAATACTGAGTGGTATTTTAAGATTTTAAAAATCTTAGTGGGTATGCCGTTATATATGTCAACAATTTTATATTTGGAGTGTATTTACTTATAATTATTGCATTTTGATTTAAGTATAACATAAGTATCTATTGTGGATTTATATCCCCAGGAGCACCGGAGGTCCACAGGAATTCTTAAGGAACTCTCACACTTAGTGTCTTATAACATAAGACACTAAGTCTTATGTTAAACTGATCAACCTGTTAAAAAAAATTAAGTGTCGTATAATTTTGCAGTGTACAGTGATTTAGAAATCAATGATAAGCATGGTAGTAGTTAGTAATGTTAAAAATTAAAAATGTCGGTTTCCTCAAGTTTTAATAGAAAGACAATGTATAGATGGATGTATATTTGTATAGGTCAGGCTTCTTCAAACCGGATGTTTTTTAATTATCACTGTTGTTATATATGGGGCATTCTGAGTCAAACCACGCGGTCATCAGCCTGACCTCAAATTTTTTTGAAAATTTTTTTTTAACTTCTTTTGGTCTAATATAAGACTTTTTTTTTTAAATTTGTATCACTAGTTTTTGCCCCAAAAATAGAGGTTTTTTAAGTTATTTAGAAAAAAAATAAATTTTGACCAGTTTTAAATTTCTGAAATTTTTATCGTAAAATCAGACTTAAATGAAATATTTTCGTCTAATAACGGGAGTGGGCCGAGATTTATTTCCATTTTTTTTTTAATAAAGAACATTTTTTTTTTTCAAAATCTGAAAAAAAATTTTTAATTCAGTTTGTTATTTAAAAAAATAAAACATGTCTTGGTAAATTTTAAATTTTTGCATATTTTGGGAGTAAAAAGTGAAAAATGTTCCTTACGAATAACATTAAAAATAATACAGGGGCTAGTGTGGATGCAGTGTGCCACGCGGCATCTGAGGTTAAGCTGTGTCCGTTACTGTTTGATCCAGGATGAATGACCACCTGGAAAAATTATTATTATTAAAAAAAACTAGAAATAAATCTCGGTCCATTCCCATTATTAGATGAAAAGATTTGATTTAAGACTCTGATTTTATGATAGAAATTTAAAACAGGTCGAAATATTTTTTTTTTCTAAATAACTTAAAAAACCTCTATTTTTGGGGCAAAAACTAGTGATAAAAATTTCAAAAAAATAAAAGTCTTATATGAGACCAAAAGAAGTTTAAAAAAAAATTTCAAAAAAATTTGAGGAGGTCAGGCCGATGACCGCGTGGTTTGACTCAGAATGCCCCATATATATTAGCGTTAGAGAATCTTTACTGTAATCATAACTTCCACAAGGTATCCACATGGAGTGTAATTATTGTTTGATCATGATGCAACCGGTCACTTTATATGTAAATGTAATTAACTATATATGTGTAAAATGTTGTCTGTTAATAAGAATCGTTTTTTATCTAATCAGACAGTTGACATATCTACATTAATTATACTTAATTATTAATAGTATAATACATACGAGTATAATATACAATATGTATGTATACATAACACACGATGCAATAATATCACGTTTATCGTGCGATATATGGTACTATACTAAAGATTAAAGAAGTTGTCATAGTAATATTTTTGAATATAATATATTGACCTACAATAATGAAATACATATTGTGTATGTAGTAGTATGGGACTACTTCACTGGAAGTAGAACCCCACACATGTTTTGTATATGTATATATATATTTTTTTTACTTGTATGTATATATTAATACTGCTTTGATTTATATTTATAAAGATTTTTAATCGTTTAAATAAAAATGCCCTTTGGCAATTATAAAAAAAAAAATATGTGCACATGCATCATATTAATATATTATTCAAATTATAATACCATTGTGATTTATTTATTTTTACTATTAACTATTGAAAAGTTGATAGATAAATAAACCCAGAACCGAGTAGCAATCAAGGATCAAAAGTAGGACGAACTTTACAAGTTTAAAAGAAAATATTAAAAGAAATTTAGAAAGTATTGATTTTACAAAAATGATTTTTTATTAGCTTTGATGCGGATTTGAGAACGTAGGCACCAATTACTTTAGCAAGTCGATAGACCATCAGAATTCGTACCTATCTAAAAAGTACTTAATAGAACAAAAATATTAAAATTCACCTCATTCCCTACAAAATCTAAAAACATATGTACATGTTTTTCATCTTACAATTTATTACGGCACACTGTAACATTTTTTTAAAAAATTGGTCGAATTAGTTCCAAATTTCTATGGAATATTATTTAGATATAGTCCTATCCACGTGCGTTGACAAACCAAAAAATATCTGAAACCTTAAAAAAATAGAATAAATGGACATTTTTTATTTAATTTTTTAACGTAGATCAGCTCTAGTGGGACTATGGCAATTAACTATTATGACAGATCAGTATCCTTTATAGATGATATCAAACTATATAATTTTCTCGGAATTCTTAGTCTTAGATAAGTTTATTCTTTATAAAACAATTACAATTGATGATAAACTTGATCAGGTTTCCGTGAATCGAGGATCAAGCCAACTATAGATAGGTTGTACCAGGAAAAGTAGGAATAATTAATTTAATATGCTTAAGAAACACAATTTATGTTAATTTTCACATTTACTTGTACGGCGATTTAAAACTAGGTATAATCAAATAGTTTTATACTATTAACAATAGTTTTCGCAGAAATGTTCAAATTAAAGGAATCCACACAGGCCAAGTTAGCCAAAGATGATTTCCGCGACAATCACGTCATTGTTTTAATAAGAAGTTTGTACTCGATTGTTTATAATGTGCAACAAAATATCTTCTTTTTTATGTTAAATAAAATACCTTATACTATGGTGATCGTTAAAATAAGTTTGAATAATTTCAAACGATATGCTTACTAAGAATTGTAGTGATTGTGGTGTTTACTTTGGTTTTGTTCTATTTCAATGAGAACCCTGCAGAATTTGTTTTATAGTGGATGATAAAAAAAATACCCCAATGAACAGCTATTGTAACTGCCTACCTACTTACTTCTCGTTTGGGTGTTGCGAAAGCAACCAAAATGTTTTGTAAAAACAAACATGCGTTTTTCTGTGTAGGATACGAGAAAGAATATCTACTTTATAAGTGCATATATTATATATAATAATATATTATAATATTTACGTTAAATTATTTAAATATTTAGGTTAGAATACATTTTTGTTTATACATAGCGTGTCCACATTGTCTGTTCATAATTCATTTAAATATAACATTAAATGCAATAAGTGTAATTTAAAGAAATTGGGCAAGGTCGAGTGGGATGTAAATGTAAGTAACTGAATAGGACAAGTGTTGCTACCGAATTTTCCATAAAAAATAACTAATTTTGTATTTAATAATTTAAATCATGTTGTTTTTCAATAAAAATTAAATCCGTTGATTATTTCTTTGGAAATATTTTAATGTCACTACGTTTGGGTTGCAGATACCTCACTTGAGTTATGTATAAATATTAAATGTACAATAATATTATGATCTGTGTAAATAATTTATCATAA